CTGTTGTCTACGTATACATATATATGCGAAAAAACAGAATGGAACAGAGATGCGTCCGTGCAGCGTATTTCTGCGTATACGCGCGTACAGCACATTAAAAATTCCATTACGAGTGATGCATTCTGGGATTGCATATACGCATAGACGCGTATACATGCAATATACAATTTTGCTTGCGTTGTGTGTGAATGAGACCATAATGTGAACAACTTGCCAGCCACTGGCCATGCCCCGCGGCTTTAACACCGTACTGCCACATATATGCGTATAGATGGTGCACTCACTTGCCACCCCATCACTGTGCTTCCGGTCACTGTTTATGATGGGGAACCGGGAGGACAGGCTAAAAATCACATGACCATTGTGACAGCCAATCGTGGTGATCACATGACTGGAAGCCAACCTACTGGCCTCCAGCATAAAGAACCCGCCGCACCCAAAGGGCCAACAGGACATTAACATCTTGGGCTTCCCCGCATGAAGTAGAATAAAAGCCGCCACCTCATTGGTTGCACGCCGCACATAACAACAGGGGTCTTTGTGGTTAGGTTTGCAGCTTCTCGTTGGTACAGACCGCGTCCTCTTGGTTTCTTCTTTCAGGAACGTAGGCGATTTCCAGGAAGTTTTAATAAACAAGTCCCGAAACTGTTACATAAACCCCGGACCGCGCGCGCGGCTACTTTTATCCCTCGCAAGTTTCGTCGCCAAGAATGATTTATTGAGATCCGGAGTGCCGTTCTCAGCGGGAAGCCCAATACAAGCGCATATTAAAAGGTCACATGTGTCTGCTAACTTGGAGATGTATAATGAGATGTCAGAGTCCGCGCTGTGAGCGGCGACAATTTTGCAAAAGCGCGAGACGGGGGGGGGGGGGGGAGCTTAGGAAAAGGTCTGTGCCCGTGTCATTAGCGAAGGAAGGCGCGGCTGCATTCCTTACCACTGCGTGACCGCTCAGGGCTCCGCTATACAGGAGGAGGAGCCCATCGGACACCTTTGCATATCGATTTCCTCTGTTGGAGGGACACTTGGATGGAGTGGCAGCTATTTATAGGTCGCTGCTTGGTAACAGCGCGTTTCATCCGCACAATATTTTCTGGGAACGTTTTATCACGGCGGGGGAAATAATTTGGGTTCTGGGCACGTCTGGCTGCGTAGCATTAAAGAAATGAAAAGAGGACGCATCCGTCCTTACAGAGTAATTATTTCAAAGCGATCCGTTCCGTCTGTGACCCCCCACCGGGACATTTTCCCTCACTTCCTGCCCCTGTGACACCTGTGCAAGAAATTAGGAGAGCGGGGGTCACTGAGACGTGAAGATGATGGCAATAAACCATTGTCATTTGCTCTATCACCGGGGTAGCCAACCTAAGTACTCCAGCTGTAGAACTACAAGTCCCATATGGCATTGAAAGACTCTGACAGCCAAGGGCATGACTTCCAGAAGCATGATGGGATTTGTAGATTCACCACAGCTGGGCTGCCGGGATTGCCTGATCTAACCCTTCCCACTGTTCTAAACATGGTGGGAGTTGGTGGCTAATCTGCACCCCAACGGGAGAAATTTCCCATCACTTTCTGTACAGGAAGTGAAGGAGGATCTTCCTTACAATCTTTTTTGATATCCTGTAATGGGGACACCCCGTGCATCAGGGTTTGGCACGGGAGGTGTGAAGGAATCCTCCAAAGAGGACACCTGTTCCATGGGCAACTGTCTTACAAGGGATCTTCTCTTACTTCCTGTTGTATCTTTAAGACAGGACATGAAGGATGATCTCCTTTTTCTTTATGTCCTGTTACGGTGACACCCCAGGCATCAAGGTCTGACATGGTGTCACTAGCACAGGAGGTGTGAAGAGATCCTTCGAAGAGGACGCATGTTCCATGGACAACTGTCTTAGAGGGGCTCTTCTCTTTCTTCCTGTTGTGTCTTTAATACAGGAATAGAAGGATGATCTCCCTTATAATTTTTTAATTTGCAGTTACAGTGACACCCTGTTCATCAGGACTTCATGGGGTGTCTCTGGCAAAGGAGGTGCGGAGAAGTCCCTCAAAGAGGACACCTGTTCCATGGACAACTGTCTTAAAAGGGATCTTCTCTTACTTCCTGTTGTATCTTTAAGACAGGACATGAAGGATGATCTCCTTTTTCTTTATGTCCTGTTACGGTGACACCCCAGGCATCAAGGTCTGACATGGTGTCACTAGCACAGGAGGTGTGAAGAGATCCTTCGAAGAAGACGCCTGTTCCATGGACAACTGTCTTACAAGGGGTCTTCTCTTACTTCCTGTTGTATCTTTAAGACAGGAAGTGAAGGGTGATCTCCCTTATCATTTTTCTTTATATCCTGGTGGGGTGACACCCCATGCATCAGGACTTAATGGGGTGTCTCTGGCATGGGAGGTGTGAGAGGTCCTTCAAAGGAGACATCTATCCATGGACAACTGTCTTATTAGGGATCTTCTCTCACTTCCTGTTCAGATGCTCTCCCTAAGGCTAGGCGACTCCTGACCTCGCGGCAATCCACAGGGTTTTGTGCGCGACTGCCACGCGGTCAGGAGTCCCCAAGGTGTGAACCGATCGCGCTGTGGGTGCCATTATTTTCTAATGGCACCCCAGTTGCGCCGGGCGGATCGTGCGGTTTCCTGCCGCGATTCCGCCCGTGCAAGTGAAGCAGCACGTCGTGTGTTGCAAATAAAGGTACATTGTACCTTTTTATAGCCTCTGCCGTGCGGATGTCACCTCCTTGAAAGCAATGGGGCTGCTGGGCAATTGCTGTGCGCACTAGGTGCCGTGCGGTGTAGTGCGGGTGTGAACCGAGCCTCATGCAGAGCTTCTAACCTCCCCATTCCAACCCAAAAGAAAACCTTGGCGGGAGTTGGGTTCTGAGTGACATACAACTACAAAGGTCGCGCCATAAACTAGATCTCTGTATTCAGACACAAACAAATATAGAAGAGTGAAGTTATAAATAGGAGCTGCGATCTTCACGTACATATTTATATCCCATCACACCGCTAGCTGCGGTCACACCTATGTAGCTGAAGTCACAGCTCCTCCTCATCAACATCTATGGTGAGATCACAGTCCTACCTTAGGTCCCATCGTCCCGTCCTTTCCTGCCTTCCCATCCAGACCCGGAAAACCCTGAGGCAACACAAAGCTTCATTATTACAACGACCAGATCAAATAAACTGAATCGGAAAATTTTTTTTACATTGCTCGAGTTCAGAACAAAACAAATGAATGTTGGAACCTTCGTCACATGTTAGTAGTTCAGTGACCTGGAACAAGTAGGCAGCCAGGAAAGTCAAGATTCTGAACCCTTAAAGGAGAACTATGAGGGGAGTGATTTCCAATCATCCTCATAGTTAGAGCTGACAATGAAACTGTCACAGGCCGGCTCAATAGATCGGGAAGTGAGCGAACACATACCGGCGCTCGCTCACTTCTCAATCATCTCCCTGCAGAGAGTGGTGACTGTCACTCACAGCTCCCTCCTCCCCGCTCCGATCCTCCATTGCTGACTGGCGGATCGGACGGGGAGGGGGCGGGTACAGCTGGCTTTGCCTCTAGATAGGCAGAGCCAGCTGTCACTCACGCAGCTGGGTGGATCTGGACAGTAATGTCGGGATCCATCCCTGCTGCAGCGGTCTCAGTATACACTCACTATATACTGAGCTTTGGGTCCTCCCATGACCCTGGGGAGAACAATGGGGAAATACACTGACCCCATAGTTCTCCTTTAACCTAAGCAGGACCTGCAATAGAAGAAGGTTTATACCCTCCAGTCCCACCATCTTCACTGGTCTGTGCCCCCTGCTGCGTGCTGTGGTGCCTCCCGTGGGCCCCTACATCATTACAGGATACAGTGGTGACTTAGAAATCAGCGTAAGGAACCACAGCACGCAGCGGGGGACGCCGGCATCTGACACTCCTAGAAGTGTCAAATGTAAAGAATCTCCAGGCAGCTGCAGCAACTTAAAAATCTAATCCGCAGCGGCAGCTTCCATATCTTCACCTTGGCAGGTTCCCTTTAAGCAAAACACTTCCTAATGCGGTTTAAACAGACCTTGTAACATGGGGAAGACCAGCCCTGGGAAACACTGAGGGACCATAATTGTGGTCAGAGTTACTTAGGCTTCCGACGTCTTCATGACCCCTACTGCTACCAACCTGATGTGTGCTATGATTTTATGGTCAGCGTGCCAAATAAGGGGGCACGCTCTAGTGAAATGATAGAACCTGGGGAAGGGCGGGCGGGTCAAGCGCGACCTCGCCGTGACGTCTCTAGGAGCTCCCTGTCCTCCTTCTTAAGGGGAGGAGAGCCACCGCAACTCCTCCCACAAACACGGCCAAGTTACCTTGGCCTATTACTTATCACATACGGCCATTAAACGCCGCTGCATTACTGTCCTTCAGCCACAGAAGGTATTCCACCACTCACATGGGTTGAGTTCCTGCTCCCCTGCTGCATGCAATGGTCCCTCCCGCTGGCTCATAAATCCTGTAGTGATGTACAAGCCGGTGGGAGAAACCTTTGTGTGCAGCGGGGGAAGTCGGTATTCCACAGAGCCAGATTTCCCCTCACTTCCTGTCCTGGTCAGAAGAGCTTCTCCACACAGGAAGTGAGGGAAAGTCTGTCTCCCCTATTCTACTAATTAAAAGCCATTTTTTTGAACCCCTTCTACAGATTTTTCCTCACTTCCTGTCTAGGTAAACCATGACAGTCAGTGGGAGGAAATCTTTCCAAAGACAGAAGCGAAAACCCAACAGGGGTTCTATTTCTTCCTCATTTCATCCAAAGCTAGAAACATGTTTTGGCCGGACAATCACTTTAAAGCCAAAATGGAGGTGCCATTCCCTGGGAACTCTGAGCACCCAGTTCAGGGGTGCCGGATCTCCCGCTCAGCCGCAAGTCACATGACCCACACCTCAGAACGCCATTGCGATACATTGTACCTGCAGTCCTGGACTTCCAATGTCGCCCTTCTCACCCTTCAGCCCCGGGGGTCCCTGAAACAGGAGAAGAAGACAACGGTCCAGATTTATAATCACAAATCAGGAGAGGGGGGGGGCACAGTGACCCCCCATAATCCTCGGCTCGAATCCGGCTCTCCGCCACCATCTAATACATTAATAAAAGTGACTGTGTGATGAATATATTCAAGTATTTAAACCCCGTCACCAAAATCTCATATCGGCTTCAACTTAATAATGTCATTTATAATAATAAATCTGCAGCTTTCATTAAATTGTATCCAAACCTGAGAACAGAAATGTCATATCAAGCGGATTACCAGTCCTGGGATGTGGCCGCTGCATTCATCTTATTATTTTATTTTCACCTATGGGATTGAACTAAACCTCTGGGGTCTCTCTATAAAAAATGTATTGGTGTAATTTCTCTTCTGGTCGAATGTTCTTCAATAGGTATATCCATAAAGAACAAAGAGAAAATACCACATTATGGCCACTAGATTGAGCCGAGGATCATAGGAAATAAATACAGGATAGGAGATAAGGGCTACAATGTTACAATTCTAGAGACTGATGGTAGGAATGAGCCTATAAATGTAACCATTGATACTACAGGGACAGTGATGGTTACACACAGGGCCGGATTTCCCACAAGGCCAACCAAGACCCGACCTCGGGGCAGCAGGAAGTAGAGGGGCAGCAGGGGTGTGGAATTCCTATCTTCCGATGACTGGGACATGCAGAGCTCCCGAGATCACTTATATGCAGCCTGCCATTCTCCATGGGGGAGGTACCTGCCCTTGGGGAAACAGAGAGAGTAAATCCGGCCCTGGTTACACATTGTTATAATTCATGAGACTGAGGTTGGGAATGAGCATATCAATGTAACCATTGATACTACAGGGACAGTTATGGTTACACATTGTTACAATTCATGAGACTGATGGGGGGAATGAGCATATAAATGTAACCATTGATACTACAAAGATGATGATGATGATTACACAATGTTACATTCTAGGGACCACTGGAGGGAATGAGCTTATTGCTATCCCCATAGTAATGGTCATAGTAAAGCTCATTCCCTCCAGTGGTCCCTAGAATGTAACATTGTGTAATCATCATCATCATCTTTGTAGTATCAATGGTTACATTTATATGCTCATTCCCCCCATCAGTCTCATGAATTGTAACAATGTGTAACCACCACTATCCCGGTGGTCTCAATGGTTACATGTATGTGCTCATTCCTACAATCAGCCTCATGAATTGTAACAATGTAAACATCACTATCCGTGTGGTCTCAATGGTTACATTTATATGCTCATTCCCTCCAGCAGTCTCTTGAATTGTAACATTGTATCTCAGTAACCACATGAATTTATTTCCTATAATCCTCGGCTCCATCTAGTGGCCATAATGTGGTATTTTCCGCATTCACTCCATTCTTTATGATTATACCTATTGAAGAACATTTGACCAGAAGAGAAACATTCGTTATTGCCCCATTCTTCCAGCAGCTGGGTAACTCGCACAGAACAAATGCAGATGAGGTTTGCTGGACATATAAGCGATGTAAATTTTTTAATAAATAGACTCCTTGGAACCCTCTCTCCCCAACATCTCCTTCTAGAAATTCAGAGCGAGCCGACAAAGGACCCGTCAAATAAAACAAGTCATACTGTACCGTGGGGCCAGTCATCGTCATCCCGCGGAGGCCAGGGGAGCCCGTGTATCCGCTGGAACCTTCTGGACCCACCTGTCCGGACACGCCTTGTTCTCCCTGAGAGAAAGTACAGAACGCAGAGAGCTCTGTGAGCAGGCGAGCGTTAGAAACAACCTGAATCACACCGCTGTCCCTGCTTATTATTTCAGCTCCCGCTGATTGCATCAAGTCACACTTCTCTCCCCAAAGTGCCGAGCGTTGATTTGCAGCAGGTGGGAGAGGAAGAGACGGTCTCGGTTAAGTCCCTGAGCGCAGACCCCTGCGCAGCAAGGAATGTGATGAGCAGAATTAAAAATAAATACTTTCAACCTGTAGCTAGCGGTGCGCCCAAAATAACCAGGACGCAGCCGCGACGTGCTGAGCTGGTTCTGTCTCCCTGCCTCTTCCATTGGCAATGCAGAACTGAACAGCTGCCCCGTCTATGTCAGCACAAGTCTGCTTTCAGCTGTCTTCCATGGTCTTGCCTTCTGTAGGCCCAGATGAGGAAGGATGTTGTTGCCCCCAAAATGTGCTATTTGTAGGAGTGTTACAAGCGCCTAGAGTCTTCTGCCCCTGGGTCCTCCATCCAATCAGGATAGAGGCACTAGTGCCTGGACTCTATGTATTTAAAGGTTCTGATCCAGGTCATGGTACACCTAGTAAAAGTTGGTCTCATTCAAGTGAACTCGTTGTGTAATGTTGACGTAGCATCTCCAAGCCTCTTCTTCAGTTCTGAACAGTGTCTTGACTCTATGTATGTGAAGGTTCTGATCCAGGTCATGGTACATCTAGAAATAGTTGGCCTCATTCAAGTGGACTTGTGTAATGTTGAAGGCATTCCAAAGCTTCTCCAAGCCTCTTCTTCAGTTCTTAACAGTGCCTGGACTTTATGTATGTAAAGGTTCTGATCCGGGTCATGGTACACTTAGTAAAAGTTGGTCTCATTCAAGCGGACGCGTTGTGTAATGTTGAAGACGTTTCGTAGCTTCTCCAAGCCTCTTCTTCAGTTCTGAACAGTGCCTTGACTTTATGTATGTGAAGGTTCTGATCCAGGCCATGGTACATCTAGAAATAGTTGACCTCATTCAAGTGGACTTGTGTAATGTTGAAGGCGTTGGTCTCATTCAAGTGTACTCGATGTGTAATGTGGACGTAGCTTCTCCAAGCCTCTTCTTCAGTTCTGAACAGTGCCTTGACTTTATGTATGTGAAGGTTCTGATCCAGGTCATGGTACATCTAGAAATAGTTGTTCTCATTCAAGTGTACTCCTTGTGTAATGTTGACATAGCTTCTCCAAGCCTCTTCTTCAGTTCCAAACGGTGCCTTGAGGTCATCGCACATCTAGAAATAGTTGGCCTCATTCAAGTAGACTCGTGTAATGTTGAAGTTCCATAGCTTCTCCAAGCCTCTTCTTCAGTTCTGAAAGGTGCCTGGATTTTGTTACCCTCCCAGACCCGGCCTTTTGTTAGGACGGAGGAAAAGACTCGTCCATTATGTATCATTATGTTACATTGCAGGCATGGCCTTGGGTTCTTTTAGCACATGGGTCACCAAACAATATAATGCACCACCAGGGTAGCTCATGTATGAACCTACCTACATTGGAGCTATGCCCTAATGGTGAGCATTTCATTTTCCATACAATACACAAAAATATTAGTACATACCACTTGTCCTGGCTCGCCCTGCTCTCCTTTGGACCCTCGAGGTCCTGGTGGCCCCTGTAAGTATAAATAAAAGTGTATATCACACAAAGAAAGAGGGGTCAGTCAAATCAGAACCTAATAACTGGCTTCTTATATCTCTCATGGGACTGCTCTGCATACTCTGCACATTAGGAGGAACCTCAGGCTTCCAACAATGGAATCAATTAAAGAGAACCTCCACTAGAAGGTTGGAGAACGGGGCCGATAATACAGATACAAGGAGGAACTGTCCTTTAAACAATTCAAAACACCATCACACCTTCGGATGGTCATTGTCAAGACAGCAGGTACTGGATTAACAGAACTGGAGACTTACCGGAAATCCAGGAGGGCCGGGTGGTCCCGGCACATCGGAGGTGCAGGTACAGGCGGAGGTGGGGGCAGGGCATGTGTTCTCATCTCTCTAAAGGGACACACAGGGATTAAGGAGCCACTTTGGAGAATTAAATGCAGCACAATTATAAAGTAACACAATAAAAAGATACGTTTTACTCAATGATATACACCATTTATGATTGTACCAGGCTGTTCCCAAAAAATACAAAAGAGCTACAAATATAAATCAAAACTTGTCTTCCACATGTACACATTTCCAATCATTGTGTCACATAAATCTAAAAAGTCCCCAACACATAACCCTCTCCTAGCTAAATGGACAAATTCTCATTCTAGAGCTGCCGCCTGCAGTACTCTCTTTTTACCACAAGGTGTCCTCAGTTCCCCTTAGTTAGAGGGAAGGGGGGCCCAAGAAAAAATCTTGCACCAGGGCCCTTTGTTCCTTAGGTCCGCCACTGTGTACACACGCAGTACACTGATCCTTCCCTTCACTCCACAGCAAAGGACCAAGCCAACCCAGCAGGCAGCATTAGACCGAAGTCAACCACCGATGCTCATTACTGCCCCCTTGAGGAGCTCGGCATCTGGCAGATGACCTCAAACAATACTTGACATGGGGAAGGTCTCGGGCCGTCTATAGCCTCACATTAACATTATGACGAGGATAAGAGGAAGCATTTATTAACTGCTAACTGACCCATCCTTGGTTAGCTGACGCGAATGGCTTCCTCTAGTCCTGGCGAAGCCAAGCAGACGCATATGGCCGGGAAATCTGCTTCGTACAGAGACGCCACCACTGATGAAGCATTAGTCATATGACTGCTGCAATGCTTTGTAATCTTTTATTCTAGAATTAGTCTTTTTGTATCCTAAATGCCCCCTGTACTCCAGCAGGGGCAATATGGAGTCAGGGCCGGGTCCCTTTGCCATCAGTAACATGCATAGATGACCATTTTCCAATTGATGTGATCAGATATCCTTTGAAATTGATCAATTTTGTAAAAAAAAAGTGTTCTGATATGTTCGAGAGGTCTCTTGTGCAATCAAAAGTGTCATTTAAATCGATCACAAGCTGAATATTGATCAGTGGATCAATGAAAATGTTCTACTATACTTGCCATAGGTGATTTTAACCACTGAGCCATTGATAATTTATCGGCCAGTCAGATCTGTAAGGGCGGCGTAGAACCAGACTGGACTGAGCAGCAAAGCTACCCTCTCATTGCTGTCCATGATGGCGGCTTCCATATAACTGGCCTGGCAGGTTCCCTTTAACTTTTTTTTTATTATTTCCGTGTTCCTGAAAGTTTTAGGGGCCCTTTAAGAAAACAGCTCCACATGCATGACAAGCATTTAGATCACGTCTTGGAGATCCATCTGCCCACCATTGACATGTGACAGCGGTGTTTAAGGACATGCGGATTCCGATGGTGTGCGTCTCCCATCCTCCCCCACCCCGTCCTTCCCGACGGTCCCCTGCGGCCGGCAATGAAATGAACACCTACATTGCGCGAGGCATTATTTGGTCTGCCCAGCAGCAGTCTCCTCTCCGCGAACCCGTTCGGCTATAAATAGAGAGCGACAATATCGCTTCCCTCTAAACACCCTCCAGGGAGACGGACTCTTTCTTCTCCCCCCGGCGCCCGCAGTCAGCCTCAACCTGAATCTCCTCCAAATGAGAGCCATTGATCATCGCAAATGTAATGTCTCCGCTTAAATAAAGCTGGATGACGGACGAGAATGAGGTTCTCTGTCTTGAGGCTGGTTAGCTGGGGGGCGATGACACCGGGGTAACGCTACACCAGAGCGAGGAAGGAATTTCCGCAGGCACGGCCTCGAAACCGATGCCGGTTAACCCTTCGTGGGCTGCCTGTGTGCAAGTTACCGAAATACGCGCACCGGTGGCCTCCTTCTGAAAATGCTCCCTGTGATGACAATAAAGTTTTGAGGAACTCAAAGCTATGTGGAAAGAATGGAGGAGTGACACCATACACAATGCCACCATCATTTTCCCCGGTAGTCACAAAAGCAGCAATCATGGAAGGTGACGCATATGACATTTGGCAGAGCAGTTCGAAGGAACGCAGAGATATCATAAACCTCAACTAGCAGACGTATTGGTCCATTAAATTGCACTCCAGACCATTTACAACGTGACCTTTTATGACAGGGCCTCATCAGAAGACCCTGGAAGCTTCTGGTGAGGCCCTGTGGTAAAAGGTTAAGCCATAAATTGGTCTGGAAAGCAATTTAAAGGAGAACTATGGGGTCAGTATTTTTTCCCCATAGTTCTCTTCACGGGGTCACGGGGGGCATATACTAACCTCCTCCTGTGACCCAAAGCTCAGTATATCGCGAGCTACAGCTCGTGGTATACTGAGACCGCCGCAACCAGCACGGATCCCGACAATGCTGTCGAGATCCACCCAGCTGCGTGATTGACAGCTGGCTCTGCCTATCTTAGAGGCAGAGCCAGTTGTGCCCGCCCCCTCCCCGTCCGTTCCTCCACTCAGCGCTGGAGGAGGGGGGGGCCTCTCTGCAGGGAGATGATCGGTAAGTGAGCGAGCGACGGTATGTGTTCGCTCACTTTGCAATCTATTGAGCCGACGTGTGAAAGTTTTATTGTCACACGTCGGCTTGAGGCAATGTAAGAAACACACATATGTGAGGCTTGGGTAGTGACCTATATTACCTAAAGCTGAGTTCTCATTCCTTTCCATTTTCACACATATTCCATAAATCCTAATGTTATGTCGTTACATTCCTACAAGGTGGTTACACGAATGTAGAAGAAACTCCACTCGGTTAGACACCAAACACACCTATAATACTACAAGGTCCAGAAGGATTATGAGACAGATCAGACCTCCAAGGAGAAAGATATCTCATATTTATTATCTAACACATTGTAATTTCATTCTGCTCAATAATATGCTGCTTTAAGTGGTGTGAAACCTTCCACCCAAACCTGTCACAAGGAAAGCAGGAGCACGTCCACTAGGCTTACAAATATACTTCAGCACCAGTGAAGATGCCAGTGAAGTCAGGATTTGCATACCTCTGCCTACCACCTTTCTTCCCATGAACATTAAAGGTTTGCTCATGTGATATTATGCCTAGGCAATGCTCACTTGGCCTCTGCCTACCACAAGCACTGTGGGGGTTTCGCATTATTAAAAGGCAGCAGAAGGCCGATTTAGTTCTACCACACAGGGCTTGCCTGGCAGACTTGCAGTGTGATAAGAGGAGCAGCAAAGCACAGCCAACTTGACCACCCCCATGAGTAGACGTATAGATAAAAGCTGTACAAATAAGTTTTTAAAGAGAACCACCCTTTCATAAGTTTATTTACATCTGCTCTATTTGTCTAAAAACACAGAAAAGACTATAGCGCTTGAAAGAGTCAATGCAATTTCATGTTAAGGATTATTATAATAGGGTCATGAGGAAGGGAAGGCAACATAGGTGTGACCGTCTCACCTTCCCTTGACTGGTCACCAAAGACCTTCTACTTGATGGCCAACCAGCCTGCCAGAATGCCCTTCCGGGGGGGCAAGCTTCTTCTCTGATCTACCCATATTAAAGCGTATCTATAACTAAACCTTGGCCGTGGTTCAGAAGGGTTAGAATCCCGATTATGTTTTTATTGCTGCCGGCCTCCGCTGGGGGTCCACCCTTCCATTAGGTCTCACTGACCCCATTGTGACCAGGATAGAGAGTGATGGGAAAACCAAAATCTATCACCAATACAGGAATAGAGGGAACATCTTCCAATGTGGACAACTGTTTCAGTGACCAATATCTAAGAGGAAAGTTCCTTCACTTTCTGTTGTGTCTGAGGGACAGGAAGTAAAAGGAAATCCCCCCAACAGAAAAGGGGCTTTACCCTTCCCTACTTTATTCAGATCCAAAAACTAAAAAATGTTTTTGCCTATACATGAATTCTTGCCAATTTTTTGAAATTTTTTTTGTGAAGCATGATCTTATATGAGGCAATGGCACTCCAAAGACAGAAAGCTCTGGGGGGGCCACACGGTCACAGTGGCCTAAAAAGGCCCAGAGATGAAATACCAAATGGACAAACCTAGGCAGAGGCCTGGCCTGACGACTTACCGCTGAAGAGCCGCTCCTCGGGCCCCTGGTCCTGGTCAGTTTCCCCAACATCTCAAATCCTAATGTGGTCACCTTTCCCATAGGCTTTACCACCTTCTCCGTCACCAGCTGACAGTCCACATAGAGCCGAATTTTTGTTTTAGACACTGCAACTTGCAACTGGGTGAAGAAAATGAAAAATCAACATATCAGTATATGAAGATCTAAAGTTAATTGGCGGGAGGGTCACATGTAAGACGTTAACCTTGTGGAAACTCCCATAGAAAATCTTCTTCACTTCTTCCTCATCGAAGGTCACCTCCTGCAAGCTTCCCTCAAGCTCGGGGCTGAAATAGGTCAACGACTGCTGATTGGCTATTACGGAGAGATTGTGATTGTGAGATCAAGGTTGTGAGATCACATGTTATGGGAAAAAATCATTGCGGCTGATAAGGAGAAGCCAAGGAGAGTTCTCTTCATACAAAGGGAACCATAAGCCAGAGTTATGGGGGAGCTAATAAGAGACTAATTGAGTTCTTGACTCCTTAAGCATCCACCCCCTCAGCATTTCACCCAAGTGAGCTAAGGGAGTTAAGTTCACTTCCCGAAAGGATCCACAACCAAGCATGATGGAAGGCAGATACGCTACCAGTATGTAAAAAACTGGGACACAAGATCCAATCCACTATAATTAAAGACCAATGAGCCTGAGATAAGCACACAGATGTGTTCATAAGATAACAGGATTCGGACATGGGGAAAATAAACGTGATACACGTGTGCTTTTTATAATCCTTTTAGCAGAGAAAAAAGGAATCATTATTTAAATTGCTAATCTAAAATATAAAAATATACCTAATACAGTGGGGCAAAAAAGTATTTAGTCAGCCACCAATTGTGCAAGTTCTCCCACTTAAAAAGATGAGAGAGGCCTGTAATTGGCATCATAGGTAGACCTCAACTATGAGAGACAAAATGAGAAAACAAATCCAGACATACGTCACCCATTGCCTCCACTCATTGCTTGGAATTCAATCTTCTCTCCGACTGACAAGGGTGCTGAGTTGCACCTACCAGCATGCCAAGATGGCTGCCCCGCGACCTTCTTCTGCTACCTACCTACAGGGCCGGTGCTGCCACTAGGCAAACTAGGCAGCCTTGACCACTCACAACAACCCCCCGCCACGGTGCCCCCCCCCCTATTTCAAATTGCATAAGCCAATAGCAGGCTGGCTATTGCGCTCGCCCACTGAGCAGAGGAGCGGAACTAAGAGACAACTTTCTCTCTCAGGTCCACTCCTCGGCTCAGTTCTGGTGTTTCAATAGCCAGTCTGCTATTGGCTATTTCAAATGAAAATAGCCAATAGCAGTCTGGCTACTGTCCCGGCTGCTTACATCCATCTATCGCCTGTGGAAGCTAGCCGGCAGGAGAATGGGGCCGTGCGCACGCAGAGGGGAATGGGGGCTGAGCTGCTGGAGGGAGGCTGGGGTGGGGCTTCAAGTAGCTGGTCTTGCCTGGGGCGCAAAATAGTCTAGCACCGGCCCTGCCTACCTACCTCGCGGGCAAACATCCATTCTCTCAGCACGATCCCTCTGATCTCCGACTTAGCAGAAGATGGCTGTGCCTTACCACGGTCACTCCTGATGCTCCAGGCGGCTGCCTCCACGTTCGCCGAGTATATTACAACGTGTAAAATGACATCCAGGACAGGAAATCATTACGGCGACGGACAAATTGGCAAGCAGAGGTTTAAAATAGCGAAAAAAATAAGAGTTCTGCCCCTCCCCCAGGCCACCGATTGAGTAATGGCCTCGGATATTGCTTAGGGGTCCCCCGTCTATTGACACGGCTCTTTGGAGACGTAGTCACCTGACCGCAGCCCTGCCTGGTCCTCGGATGACCCTCATGGGTCAGAGAGCCGTCAGCATTTTTCTGTTATTAAAATCTCTAGATTGATACCGAAGACTTTGTTGTCTTGCAGTAGGAAATAATTAAAACTCGGGATTATTACCTGCGGACATGAATTAAATTGTATCTAAATCTAGAACACACATGGAATATACTGCAGCTTACTGGGTACGGTGGCTGCATTTTTTTCCAGGCTTCATTCATTTTATCATAACCTTATTGTCATACTTCCTATATGAGGGTGACAACACTTACTGCACTAAGTCTATAAAGGACCAGCGTTGTCACTCTAGGACAAGACTACAGAACGCCTCCCCCTTTTTTCTCCTCCATAACATAGTAGGGAAAGTCTGTACTCAACAGAGATAGCTGGGAACAATGATAAGAGTTCAGGACAAGAAAAAAGCACAGGAAGTTAACTACACACACACACACACTCACTCACATAAGTTGAACTGGATGGACCTTAGTCTTTATTCAACCTTACATACTATGTTACTATGTTATCAGCTGATAAAAGTGTTGGTAGAGCACTGGACCCAGGGGTAGAAGAGATGGGGCTTCAAATCCAAATTTTAGAGCCAGCTCTCTGTCAACTGAGGGGGGTCCCAGGATTAGTGAAGAAAGGATGAGAGTGCCATGGATCTAGTGTGAAGCCAGTTATCTTTATTTAACCTGACAAGAGAAATCCAACGCATTTCAAGGACTCAAAGCTCCCCTTCATCAGGGTCAAGAAATAAGATGACATACAGTGTGAACATATTGTCCAGCAAGTCACATTGGGGCTGATCTATGAATCTTCCACCCAGCGTATAGTAGAGCAAATGCCTTTCACGCACCTTAACCACCACTAGATGGGGCCAGGGAGCATTGGAAATTCTTATGCTCACCAGCACCATCTAGTGGTGGTAGCCCATGCGAGCCGCATTCTCCCAGCTATACGCTGGGTGGAAGATTTCTAAACCTTCCCCATTGTGACTTGCTGGGCAATATCTCCTCACTATCTCTACTATTATCTTCTCCTACCAGATCCTTTGATTTTCCAATTTGTTGTCCTCTTCAAGAGCCTACACAGCACTGTATATCATTGGCTGCAGCATTCATCGGATCTTTCAAAGCCTGGCTGCCATTATGATTACGGGTTTTGCAATCATCATAATGTAATACATTTGATCCGGTCATGCTATTTATTCCTTTACACAATGTATAAGGCCGGGCTGTTTATTTTATCTGTTTTTTTTATTATTATTATTATTATTATTTTTGAACTATTATATATTTTTATACTTCACGATAAGATCCCCTTTATGAACTTCTGCTCGTAATTCTGTAACATAGAACGATGCTGATTTATGCTCTGAATGGATTTTAATCTTAAGTATCATTTCATTATCATTTAGAACATCTTATAATATGACTTTTTAGTTCTTCTTCTTTATGATATTTTATGTCCTCCCATTTCTCGGCCCTGATAACGGAGGAGTGTTGTTCCGCCATAACGTGCAGACTTTGTCTTCTGACCTCCTGTCATGTATAGGGATTACCTCAGGTTGGGACTGATCCCGGTCTGGACCTGGAAAGCACATGGGGCCCCCAGCCTTATCAGCTGTGGACTGGGGCATTCCCCGCCCCTGCACATAAACAAAAGGCCAGGATGTTGCGCTAACATCATTGACCTTATATGGCCACATGGCCATGTTAGGTCAATGACCAAATATAACTACGTAGCCATGTAAGGTCAATGACATCACAGCATCCCGCCCCTTTTCCTACATGCAGGTGCAGGTGGGGAATTGCCCACCCCGCAGGTGCGCATCAACAAAGGTGGTATGCTTGCGCTGACATCATTGACCTTATAAAAAAAATGCCTTTGACCAAATATAGCTTCGTACCCACATAAGGTCAATGACATCACAGCATCCTGCCCCTTTTCCTACATGCAGGTGCAGGCAGGGAATTCCCCGGCCGCAGCTGATTGGGTAGCAGCAAAAGGAGCTTCCTTGCGGGTTCAGTGGAGCTCAGGTTTGGTCCTGAGCTCATCCCTAGTCATGTGTAATAAAGATTTACTGGACTCCCACTAAGTCTGCGGCACTCTCAGTCTTTCTGCGCTCTTCCTATTTCATACGTCGGGATGCCTGTAATTTGGGCTCAGTCTGGTATCAGGTGGTAGAAGGATCTCCTATATGAGCCTCCTAAATACAATAAACGAGGCCCGTCGTATGTTCTCACGTTTCATATATGGCCTCCTCCAACCACAACCACACGTAGAGACTTACGATCCAGGATGATCCCGACAACCGGCTGGAAATCTTCATCCGTCAGCTGCCACAAGGCGAACGGTTCCTGGGCGGCGTTGGCAGGCAGGCGAAAGAGGAAGCTGAGCCCGTGTTCCTGGAGGAGCCCATGAGGGTGGACTTCTCTGGAAAGAAATGGTGCAGTCAAGCTAGTACGGCTGAAGATCAGGGAGATCAGAATACACACACTGCACAATGGCTTAGAGGAAGGACACGCCCCCTCCCTCTTATCTAGCAAGTTTTGGACCATCTGGCTTAGTTACACACAAAGCATGCGCACAGCCGCGGTCTCTCTTTTTACAAGGCGTGGCACATTTTGCAGCCAGTCATGGATACAACCTGGAATTACATGATTATAAGGATGTCATTACATTTTAATAATGAGATAAAGCCCAAATGAGGTCTCACATTTTTTTTTATATCTCTTTATAGTCCTGTACCCCACATGATGTGAATGGCGGCAGACAGAAAACGCCTCAAAACACCTTCATCTCTCACTGAAAATGCTGCATCCTGCAGAGCTCTGTGCTGGCAGAGCTGAGTAACAGCCACACCCCTTAACACAAGTATCCTCACAGAGGAATAGAGGGGGCGTGTCAAACCAGGAAGGGGGCGTACCTGACCAGATCTGTTAGATTATGGAGTGCACTGAGCAGCGTGGTCAAACTCTTTGGACTGGATTGACATATTGAGACACCCCTCATCGTGGTTCATCAGGAAAGAGGAAGTAAGACAAGTTTGTAAGCGCAACAGGAACCATTTCTGTGACTCCAACCAAGCTTTAACGTCAATGTTCTTCTTATGATCCCCAGCAGCAAGCTTCTCCCATAGTTTACAGTAGGCACTGCAGCTCCTGTCACATGAGTCTGTGGCGCACACTGATCTGGCTTATGGACCAACTTTCACGGGTCGGAGAAGACAGATTAGGCCAATGTGGCATGGAGGGACAAAGGGAAAATTCAATAGTTACGCCATTTTTTCCAATGACTCCCTCTATGTGCAGAATTGTCGTGTCTGAGTGAAGCGTTTGTTGAATAAAGTCGGTTTAATCCCGTGTTTGCCCCCTCCCCCTCTTTCTCCATGCGTGTGGCTCCTAACGGTGACCAGGAGCGGAACGCGGCATATCTACACAGAGCCAAACGGCGGCGGCGCTGTCAGCGGTGAGCGATCGGGCGCATTAGAAGCCGGTGACATGAAATCATCCTACTAATGGAGAAGAAGGACGCCGGGTTATCCGCGTAGCAGGCGGCTCGGAGAGGAAGATGGCAATCTTCTAGACGACTTCTGCGATAACGGCGCCCGGCTAATTTCGGAGATCCGCAGGTTGGTATCGGGGGAATTAACATATGAAAATGACGGTATTATAGCTGCAGAGGCATGACAGGGGCTACGGCGGCACCAGGATCCTCAAAGTCCTCATCAGTTACCTATTACTCTTCATGAGAATCTAATCTTCTATATACTGGTGTAATATATTCTACTTTATATATTTATCATGTTCAGCCCTAAAAATGGGCTGCACCCCTCACCTCTATTCCATTGTAAAACGGCTGCACCCCTCACTTCTATTCTATTGTAAAAGGGCTGCACCCCTCACCTCTATTCCATTGCAAAAGGGCTGCACCCCTCACCTCTATTCCATTGTAAATGGGCTGCACCCCTCACCTCTATTCCATTGTAAATGGGCTGCACCCCTAGTCTCTCTTCCATTTTAAATGGGCTGCACCCCTCACCTCTATTCCATTGTATATGGGCTGCACCCCTAGTCTCTCTTCCATTGTAAAAAAGCTAACCTCCTGACCTCTATTCCATTGCAAATGGGCTGCACCCCACACCTACCACTGATTTAATAGATCCTATGCCTTTGCTTTAAAGAGAACCTGTCATGGAGGGCAGTCACCTGTCTCCGGGAATTGGGGCCAGGCTCCTTGATACAGCCCAATCAGGCAGCGATATCCCATGCATGGTTCACTTTAAGACACTGCAACTCCGCACCACGAAATGAGAATTACCAAATTCAAAAGGAGGCCAAAGGTCAGCGAAGGAGACAAAGATCTCGGGGATTTGCACACCGAAAGGCACCGGGCTGAGCAGATTTGCCGGTATAAAGAGATTAATGTTATCTGGTCTTCGGAGGATAAAAGTAGAAGATTAAATATGGAGATGGCGCGGGACATGAAAAGACGCAGCTCCCCCTCCCCCGGGACACGCACGGCCCACGCTTCCAATTAACTTTACACGCTGTAGAAGACGGGTCTCAGTCAGGGCGAGAGGATGAGGTGCTTCCATTCATCAGGAGAGGAATAGCGGCACGGAGCAAGTAGAGGATGAAGAGACCGGCGGAAGGGAACGCAGGAAGTTTCCCAGGGAAAATATTAAACGTTTTCAGAAACAAAAAGATACATTTGTTATTTTTGTTCCATTAAAAAGTTAAAGTGTAACTCCTCTGTGGTCACAGCAAGGAAGGGCAAGGAAGTGGTCAAGGCTTTTATCATCTGGGTCCCCCTCACTTCCTGTCCTGGGGTCCCAAGTTCAACCATTTATGAATCCCTACGCTGGTGACCCCAATCAAAGTCTTTCTAGAAATGAAGCAAAAGGATCAAGTGATGACGTCACTGGGTCCAAAATAAGGTCTGTAATGAAATCTCATTATCGTGTTCATAAGGGGAGGAGCCAGAGAAGGCAGAATAGAAGATCAAACTTCAGCTCTATGGAAGACATTTTATAACTTCAGTATATGGGCTTCCATGACAACAAAGGATCCAATATAACCATCGGTTGCCAAGATCCGGTCACTGGAGGCCACCTTCATCCATGCACAGTGCTCCCCCCACCCCTTAATTTTACAAGCGATGAGCAGGAAATGGAAGAGTTGCTTTGCTGTATAATGATCAATTTTCCTACCTGGTCCAGATGGTCAGCTGGGCGTTCTCTGCCACCGTATAGATCCTTGATCTCCCCAAGACGAAGGCGTCAATGGAGACCCCATTGATGGAGGAGTAGAGCTTTTCATGAAGTCCGAAGACCACCATCATGTCATAGCCTGTGAGAGGAGGCGGAAAATCAGCTTGGAGGAGAAGTCCCAGGAGCAAAGTTGACAAATCATTAGGACGGAATATGTGGCAGATTTGAGGAAATTATCAACCTATTGACCCATATTGGATGTCCCACAGTGGTGAGCCTACTCCCACCCCCAACGACTCACTACCCATGGCTGTGATGGGCACCCTTGCAAGCCAATAGAGAGGCACTGGGGGCAGGTTTACAAAATGTGACTTGCAGACAAAATGAGACAGTATGATTGCAGTATTTTTCTGGTCTGGTCTGGTCTGGAACGGACTGCACTGTTGTGAACAGAGGCCAGAAATAGCATAGGGATACATTAAGATGCATTATAAGTCTGGAAACAATCTGGTCTGGTCTGGAGATGATCTGGATGTGGGGTGAATGGGCCCTGAAAGCTAGAAGGGCGGGGCCTCAACTACGGAAGTTGGCTAGAATTTGCATTCCAGCAGTGCAAAGAAGCATCAGCCCAATCACTAAAACCTCCTGTGAGCTTCAACATCCTAATGTCCTTTCAAAATCCATTTTCAATCACTATAAATATGCAGGTTTCATTAAAATAATCTCTAGCGACATGCTATGGAAGTCCTTGGTTAGGCACTTCCTGTTACGCGGTGACCTGTCTCCCAGTTATGCTCCTGTGTTGTCACCCTGGCTTCCGATCGAAAAACAACAATTGGGCACTTTAACCCCATGACACATGGGGTCCACTGTTGTCACCATCAGGATACCCACCCTGAGAAAGGCCATGCAGCCATTGCTGGAATGTATGTAGATGGGAAGGAGCTGGGAAGAGGCTTCAAGAGATCAGCAGAGAAGTACCAAAGGAGGAAAAAAAGGGGGAAACAAGTGTTTTATTTTTTTAAAAATGTTTATGATATACATTTTCTTTCATTTAGCCCGCATGGCTGAAAGAGAAATACTTATTTATTGACAGAGTAATTCACCGCACAAATGTCTGAACACTTCTGTGTGAATAGAGGCAAATGTCAAATGTGATGTAATACATCATTATGGCCACTAGATGGAGCTGGGGATATAAGCATTTCATTCCTATGATCTTCAGCGCCATCTAGTGGCCATTATGATGTATTACATCACATTTTACATTTGCCTCTATTCACGCAAAACAAGTGTTCCGACATTTGCGCGCAGCATGACTCTGTCAATAAATAGACCCTTATAGTTAGTTCTCTTTCAGCCATGCGGGCTAAATGAAAAGACCAGAAAAGAAAAGATACTAAGAATGTTCGTTTTTGCCTCTATTCACACAAAACGAATGTCAACAGAGATTCACAGGGCGAATGCCTCTTAGAATTGTTTATAACTAGACCCCTATGTGTCTGGCCAGTTAGGGTTTCCATCTACTTTTAAAGCCAGGGAAGCAGCATTTTCAGCAGTTGTTCAGCAACGGGCCCCCCTCATCCCTCTTATGACAGGCAATGTCATCTCACACATCACTCTCCTCGCTGGTTGCCTTGAAGGAATTTCCCGTCGCACAGATAAAGCCATCATGGTTTTATCTCTTCCTTCTGATGGCATCCGTCTTGAGATGGCAGCTCGGAGGGATTAATTCCCATTAAAGACAATAGGCATTGTTTCCTCTGATGCCGCCGCTCAGATGGGCGATACGGGGCTCTCTCCAACAAAGGACGCCTTTCGCAGAGCTCCCTAGGAGACTCATCCGGCCCTCATTATAAGTGTCTTTCATCCGACACGAGGCTAATTATAACACTCCACCATCTGAAAGGATTATAATCTATGCGTGTAATTGGCGGCTGACCCTAATTTAACAAGGCCGCTTCCGAAGTCGGCGGCGGGCCCCTCGCTTTTTTTTTTTCATACGGGAATCATCTTCCAGACACGGAGAGTCTGGACAGTGAAGGGCGTCTTCCAGGCAGGAATATACAAATATGAGTGACAAGTGTGTTATAATATCTACAGGTAATTGGGTAACAGTGGTCACCATGTTCACCTCGTCCAATCAGAGAATGCCTTGCTTGCATTAAAAAACAATATACGGCATTCTCTGATTGGCAGCAGTGTCGCGCGAACGGCTTCCTGGGATCAGTGTGCATAGGGAAGCCGGCCATCACTGTATGTAGCCAGGACTACTACAGTAATTTTTAGCATCCCCGGCAGCCCTCTGGTTATCAGATATGGATACTTACACAGAACCAAGCTGACCAGTATACGTTTCCATAAAAGATCATTCCCGGAGTTTCGCTTCACTTTTCCCTACTCTACCCAGAACTAAAATGTGACTTAGGCTTTAACATAGTGACGTGATGGCCAGCATGTACCCTGCGCTGTAATGACAGGTCCTCTTTATACTCTGCACTGTAATGACAGGTCCTCTTTAGGCTCTGCATTATGATGACAGGTCCTTTTTAGGCTCTGAATTGTAATGACAGGTCCTCTTTAGGCTTTGCATTATAATAACAGGTCCTCTTTAGGCTCTGCATTATAATGACAGGCCCTCTTCAGGCTCTGCATTATAATGACAGGTCCTCTTTAGGCTTTACATTGTAATGACAGGTTCTCGCTAGGCTGTGCTATGTAATGACAGGTCCTCTTTAGGCTCTGCATTGTAATGACAGGTCCTCTTTAGGCTCTGCATTGTAATGACAGGTCCTCTTTAGGCTCTGCATTGTAATGACAGCTCCTCTTGTCCTCTCTAGGCTGTGTATTATAATGACAGGTCCTCTCTAGGCTCAGCATTGTAATGACAGGTCCTCTCTAGTCTGTGCTATGCAATGACAGGTCCTCTCTAGTCTGTGCATTGTAATGACAGGTCCTCTTTAGGCTGTGCTGTGTAATGATGACAGGTCCTCTTTAGGCTGTGCTGTGTAATGATGACAGGTCCTCTTTAGGCTGTGCTGTGTAATGATGACAGGTCCTCTTTAGGCTGTGCTGTGTAATGATGACAGGTCCTCTTTAGGCTGTGCTGTGTAATGATGACAGGTCCTCTTTAGGCTGTGCTGTGTAATGATGACAGGTCCTCTTTAGGCTGTGCTGTGTAATGATGACAGGTCCTCTTTAGGCTGTGCTGTGTAATGATGACAGGTCCTCTTTAGGCTGTGCTGTGTAATGATGACAGGTCCTCTTTAGGCTGTGCTGTGTAATGATGACAGGTCCTCTTTAGGCTGTGCTGTGTAATGATGACAGGTCCTCTTTAGGCTGTGCTGTGTAATGATGACAGGTCCTCTTTAGGCTGTGCTGTGTAATGATGACAGGTCCTCTTTAGGCTGTGCTGTGTAATGATGACAGGTCCTCTTTAGGCTGTGCTGTGTAATGATGACAGGTCCTCTTTAGGCTGTGCTGTGTAATGATGACAGGTCCTCTTTAGGCTGTGCTGTGTAATGATGACAGGTCCTCTTTAGGCTGTGCTGTGTAATGATGACAGGTCCTCTTTAGGCTGTGCTGTGTAATGATGACAGGTCCTCTTTAGGCTGTGCTGTGTAATGATGACAGGTCCTCTTTAGGCTGTGCTGTGTAATGATGACAGGTCCTCTTTAGGCTGTGCTGTGTAATGATGACAGGTCCTCTTTAGGCTGTGCTGTGTAATGATGACAGGTCCTCTTTAGGCTGTGCTGTGTAATGATGACAGGTCCTCTTTAGGCTGTGCTGTGTAATGATGACAGGTCCTCTTTAGGCTGTGCTGTGTAATGATGACAGGTCCTCTTTAGGCTGTGCTGTGTAATGATGACAGGTCCTCTTTAGGCTGTGCTGTGTAATGATGACAGGTCCTCTTTAGGCTGTGCTGTGTAATGATGACAGGTCCTCTTTAGGCTGTGCTGTGTAATGATGACAGGTCCTCTTTAGGCTGTGCTGTGTAATGATGACAGGTCCTCTTTAGGCTGTGCTGTGTAATGATGACAGGTCCTCTTTAGGCTGTGCTGTGTAATGATGACAGGTCCTCTTTAGGCTGTGCTGTGTAATGATGACAGGTCCTCTTTAGGCTGTGCTGTGTAATGATGACAGGTCCTCTTTAGGCTGTGCTGTGTAATGATGACAGGTCCTCTTTAGGCTGTGCTGTGTAATGATGACAGGTCCTCTTTAGGCTGTGCTGTGTAATGATGACAGGTCCTCTTTAGGCTGTGCTGTGTAATGATGACAGGTCCTCTTTAGGCTGTGCTGTGTAATGATGACAGGTCCTCTTTAGGCTGTGCTGTGTAATGATGACAGGTCCTCTTTAGGCTGTGCTGTGTAATGATGACAGGTCCTCTTTAGGCTGTGCTGTGTAATGATGACAGGTCCTCTTTAGGCTGTGCTGTGTAATGATGACAGGTCCTCTTTAGGCTGTGCTGTGTAATGATGACAGGTCCTCTTTAGGCTGTGCTGTGTAATGATGACAGGTCCTCTTTAGGCTGTGCTGTGTAATGATGACAGGTCCTCTTTAGGCTGTGCTGTGTAATGATGACAGGTCCTCTTTAGGCTGTGCTGTGTAATGATGACAGGTCCTCTTTAGGCTGTGCTGTGTAATGATGACAGGTCCTCTTTAGGCTGTGCTGTGTAATGATGACAGGTCCTCTTTAGGCTGTGCTGTGTAATGATGACAGGTCCTCTTTAGGCTGTGCTGTGTAATGATGACAGGTCCTCTTTAGGCTGTGCTGTGTAATGATGACAGGTCCTCTTTAGGCTGTGCTGTGTAATGATGACAGGTCCTCTTTAGGCTGTGCTGTGTAATGATGACAGGTCCTCTTTAGGCTGTGCTGTGTAATGATGACAGGTCCTCTTTAGGCTGTGCTGTGTAATGATGACAGGTCCTCTTTAGGCTGTGCTGTGTAATGATGACAGGTCCTCTTTAGGCTGTGCTGTGTAATGATGACAGGTCCTCTTTAGGCTGTGCTGTGTAATGATGACAGGTCCTCTTTAGGCTGTGCTGTGTAATGATGACAGGTCCTCTTTAGGCTGTGCTGTGTAATGATGACAGGTCCTCTTTAGGCTGTGCTGTGTAATGATGACAGGTCCTCTTTAGGCTGTGCTGTGTAATGATGACAGGTCCTCTTTAGGCTGTGCTGTGTAATGATGACAGGTCCTCTTTAGGCTGTGCTGTGTAATGATGACAGGTCCTCTTTAGGCTGTGCTGTGTAATGATGACAGGTCCTCTTTAGGCTGTGCTGTGTAATGATGACAGGTCCTCTTTAGGCTGTGCTGTGTAATGATGACAGGTCCTCTTTAGGCTGTGCTGTGTAATGATGACAGGTCCTCTTTAGGCTGTGCTGTGTAATGATGACAGGTCCTCTTTAGGCTGTGCTGTGTAATGATGACAGGTCCTCTTTAGGCTGTGCTGTGTAATGATGACAGGTCCTCTTTAGGCTGTGCTGTGTAATGATGACAGGTCCTCTTTAGGCTGTGCTGTGTAATGATGACAGGTCCTCTTTAGGCTGTGCTGTGTAATGATGACAGGTCCTCTTTAGGCTGTGCTGTGTAATGATGACAGGTCCTCTTTAGGCTGTGCTGTGTAATGATGACAGGTCCTCTTTAGGCTGTGCTGTGTAATGATGACAGGTCCTCTTTAGGCTGTGCTGTGTAATGATGACAGGTCCTCTTTAGGCTGTGCTGTGTAATGATGACAGGTCCTCTTTAGGCTGTGCTGTGTAATGATGACAGGTCCTCTTTAGGCTGTGCTGTGTAATGATGACAGGTCCTCTTTAGGCTGTGCTGTGTAATGATGACAGGTCCTCTTTAGGCTGTGCTGTGTAATGATGACAGGTCCTCTTTAGGCTGTGCTGTGTAATGATGACAGGTCCTCTTTAGGCTGTGCTGTGTAATGATGACAGGTCCTCTTTAGGCTGTGCTGTGTAATGATGACAGGTCCTCTTTAGGCTGTGCTGTGTAATGATGACAGGTCCTCTTTAGGCTGTGCTGTGTAATGATGACAGGTCCTCTTTAGGCTGTGCTGTGTAATGATGACAGGTCCTCTTTAGGCTGTGCTGTGTAATGATGACAGGTCCTCTTTAGGCTGTGCTGTGTAATGATGACAGGTCCTCTTTAGGCTGTGCTGTGTAATGATGACAGGTCCTCTTTAGGCTGTGCTGTGTAATGATGACAGGTCCTCTTTAGGCTGTGCTGTGTAATGATGACAGGTCCTCTTTAGGCTGTGCTGTGTAATGATGACAGGTCCTCTTTAGGCTGTGCTGTGTAATGATGACAGGTCCTCTTTAGGCTGTGCTGTGTAATGATGACAGGTCCTCTTTAGGCTGTGCTGTGTAATGATGACAGGTCCTCTTTAGGCTGTGCTGTGTAATGATGACAGGTCCTCTTTAGGCTGTGCTGTGTAATGATGACAGGTCCTCTTTAGGCTGTGCTATGTAATGACAGGTCCTCTTTAGGCTGCGTATTGAACACTCAGAAGCAAAGGGCTCTCTATAAACACAATAATCGGCGCCCCCGATGTACACAATCACCCCAATTAGGCTCAGGTGCAGGACGGCGAGTCTTTTAGAAGTTCAGACGCTCTCCAATCAATGGCTGAGCAGTGTTCTTCCCACGCAGAGCGACATCGGGTCACCGCACCGCAATGCACCGGACTCGCCGTCATGCACCAGTAGGTAGCGTGTATGTCTCATAATGGGGCGGCGGGGGAATTGGAATTGTTCAGTCTGGCTCCCATCATCACACGGCTGCCGAGCCTTCTCGTAATGCTTAAAGGGAACACACCAAAACCCCCAACAATGACATTATGTTATTCGCTCCCCTTCTCTCCTCTCTGCCTGTGCTGTGCTCTCATCACTTACATTGTTGTATGTGGACTACACAACACCTCCCGCTATGTTATTAAGAAGAAACGGGGGGTGAGGGGTTGTTCTGTAGTCCTAACACCTTTTCTGTATTAGGGTGACAACGCTGCTCCTCCAAAGACAGCAGACTGGCGATCGATTCATTAAAGGTAGCTACACTGTACAAGCAGATGGCTAAAATCATGATATTGATGAACAGAACACGACTGCCAGGCAGTGTCGGTAACACCGCGGTGAGTACCCCCCCGCCTCGCACTTCATTGCATTGATTGTCATTCTTCATTTAATTAATTTACAAAGGAGAGACTCACCAGGAAACTCGTCTTCTCTGTCTTTGGCCTTAATTAATGGACACGTCCCTTCAAGACACAAAACAGAGAATAAGGACAGTTCTCAGGATGCATGCAGGTTTATTAAAGGGCCAGTCCACCCAAAATGATATTTCAGAGTTTCAGTTCCCGGGTCAGTACATTTCCCTGTTCTGAGTTCCCGGGTCTGTACACCTGATGTGCCCATTATGAGGGGCTCCCACCATCCTGCTGGATTTACGTTTATTTTGGAGAGTGTAACAGGAAGAATTGGGACACAATGGTAGGCGGAGACACAGGCTCACAGCTCTTCCTGTTCATGTAATGTAAGGTGGAGCACTCAATGTTGGCGCTGTTCAGTGCAGGATTTTTAGGATCTGGTTCCAATGAGTATAGCATTTTAGAGGGTAAGTCTAGGGAAGTTTAGTTTAGTTTTAGGGTAAGGGGCAAGGTCTGAGTAACCTTAAACAAACCCAGAATTTTAGAGGTTGAGTCTAGGGTAAGCGGTGAGGTCAAGGGTCAAGATCTGGGGAACCCTAAATAGTAAATCCAGCATTTTAGTGTTTAGTTTTAGGGTATAGGGCAAGGTCTGTATAATCTTAAACAACAAACCCAGAATTTTAGAGGTTGAGTCTAGGGTAAGGGGTGAGGTCGAGGTTAGGGTCAAGGGTCAAAATCTGGGGAACCCTAAACAATAAATCCAGCATTTTATAGTATGGGGAAAGGTCAAGGTTAGGGTCAAGGTCTGAGACTTTTAGAGGTTGAGTCTAGGGTAAGGGGTGAGGTCAAGGTTGGGGTTAAGGGTCAAGGTCTGGGGAATGCTAAACAATAAACCCAGCATTATACGGTAGAGGTTAGTTTTAGGGTAAGGGGTGAGGTCAAGGTTAGGGTCAAGATCTGGGTAACTTTAAACAACAAACCCAGAATTGTAGAGGTTGAGTCTAGGGTACGGGTGGGGTTAAGGGTTAAGGTCCAGGTAAAGTTTTATGGGGTTAAGTGTTGGGTTAGGTTTTGTGTAAAGGTTATGTTTTGGGTTTCAGGGTTGGGCTAAGGTCAGTGCGAGTTTTAAGTGTCAACTATTAGTATAGGAGGTAAGGGTAAAATAAGTTTGGGATTCAAGTGTCGGGGAAAGGGTTGAGTCTTAAACTGGCCTGACATGCTACAATCTGATTGGACAATCTGTATTAGTCACTTAAACAATGATGTTGTAGCCAATCAGAGAAGTCTTAGTAGAACATAGTCAGTGGCAGAGCTCGAAGACATTGTCCAATCAGGTTGTGACACGCGTGGTCAGATAAAGGGTCATCTTAGCACCTTCTAGGGTCATGTACTTCACCTACGCCAAACGTCGGCGCCCATTTCTGCGGCAGAAACCAATGTATCAAAGGGAAACAACGGTGATGGGACTACCGGCGACTGCCCGATAAGAACATTGGTCGGTGGATTCAAGTCATTACACACGCGCCGTGATCTTTTCCCAGCCGCCAGCCGACTCCGCGGGACGCGAATTAAAACACAGTTTACCGCAGTTTATTTTGCTTTCAACGTTCAATCCGAGGACGAGGAGCGATATTAATCTGCGTAGAGGAGCGCCCCCGCCCCTCCGTGTAGTTTCATGTTTTATGGATGGAGATGATTAAGGTCTCCGCGCGCTAATCAGGCTGTCACTTTTATTCCGATAGCGCACGTTACAATTTAATAATTCTCTCACATCTCGGGAAGGATGGCAAGCTATTTGAAGGTGGCACGGATAAAAGCGGCTTATTGGTGCGCTCGTGCGTCGCGGAGACCCCAGCTGGTTACCCAAAAAAAAAAATGGAGCAATAAGCAATCTTTTGATACACGTCAGCGGCCCCGTTGGGCCTTTTTCTCCAATCAAAGGCGACTTTAAAGCCGAGTTTCTCCTTCAGAACATTTTCCTTCCGTCAAAACGTTCGCCGGGACTACCAGTGGCGCACGCAGAGAGAGGAAAGTGCGACTAATGGGATATTTACTTGTGTGCTAAGCACTCACCATCTGTCCGGACGGGTCCAAAGCCTCCGCGGCCCGCGGGCATCTTCCGGGGATTGTCTCCTGTGCCGGAGAGATTAAACACGTTAGATGGGTTAAAAAGGCGACCGCTAATCAAACTTGAGGTGAAGGATACATACTAAGTAGTAGGAGAGCTGGAGAAAATGATGCCCTGGGTTCCCTCCAGTGCTAGGATTTGGTCAAAGAGGAGGAGCCAATATAAACACAGATCCACCTCTTCAGTAGAGATCACATGACCTGTGCCTAGGCTTTCAACCTCATGACTACCCCTGGAGTTCCCTACTGCAGCATTTTCTCCAGGAATGCAAAGCTATTCTGTTGCTCATTAGGTGGTCGAACCTGCAAGATAGTTAGGGCCCATTTACATTTTTGTGGGCTCCTCCTCCATGATTTGGTCAAATAATGGAGGAGGAGCCAATCTAAACACGGATCCGCCTCTTCACTAGAGATCACATGACCTGTGCCCAGGCTTTTGAACTCATAACTACCCCAGGAGTGCCCAACTGCAGCATTTTTATGATCGTGGTGGAGGAGCCAATTTGAACACGGATCCGCCTCTTCAACAGAGATCACATGACCTGTGCCTAGATTTTTAAACTCATGACTACCCCAGGAGTGGCCTGATGCAGCATTTTCTCCAGGAATGCAAAGCTATTCTATTGCTCATTAGGTGGCCAAACCTGCAAGATAGTTAGGGCCCACTTACATTTTTGTTGGCTCCTCCTCCATGATCTGGTCAAATCATGGAGGAGGAGCTAATCGGAACACAGATCCGCCTCCTAGTTAGGGCCAATTTACATTTTGGTGGGCCACTGTGGTGCGTTAATGCAAGGCTACTAATGCCCAGTTGGACATGATCCTGTGCAATGCACGACATGTGGTGCATAGATGGCCTGCTACTGTAAGTGCCTTGGGGTGGTCCAACCACAGGCTAGGGGGCAGGTCAGTGACGAAGACGTATTGCTTAACCGCCATAAAGAAAAGTGCAGCCAACGCGCTGACTGTGGATCTCAAGACCGGCTTAACAACCCCGGCAAATCCCCTCTGAAGTTAAACCCGCGTGGTTAGTCTCTCGCCCAGTGTTCAGCTTTAAAGGTTTGCCGAACCCAAAACGCGTTGCGCGGTCCCCGCTGAAGGAGCAAAGGGAAGAAAACCGCTGACAAAATGTAAATTCTAAAATAAGCCGGCGAGAGTGATGAAAGGCGCTCGTCATGGTGGGTACACTGCGTGCAGGAAACCAATTACACGACATTAGTAGAACTAAATACCCTTGCTAATTAATTACCCAAGGACACGAATACATTTACATACTCGCCGCCGAAGACCGCACTACATTTCACCCACTTAAAGAACAAATCGGGCCTAATTATAGAAAAAAGGGGAGGATATCACAGGCAGCAGGGGACCTGATGTAATCACAGGACGTAACCCATTAACACTTTCGGCTGTGCTCTTTGTAGGCAGCCCGATAGCCAACACCCTCAGGGACAGGGCGCTCATCTCTATTACATAATGCATGCTGACTATACTAATTACATGAGAACAAACCCAAGAACGTTCTGTTGTATTCTGGTAGCAGAGTTTTCATTGTTGGATGAGAGTTAAAGGCCAACTCTGGGCTCATTTTTTAGCCCCCCTGCAGTACCTCATCTAGGCCACAAGATGTCCTCAGTCTTCTGGGTTAAATGACGCCCAGGAGAAGACTGAGGACATCCTACAAGGGCAAGGCGTCAAGGGCCACCAAAGCTCATTGCACCAACAATGTATTGGTGCAGAGAGTGGTGTGGACATCATCAGGTAAGTGTGGCCCTCTGAATCATCACGGACCACCCACGGGAAACCTGCACGTCATGTAAACAGCCTGGAGCCACTACCATTGCTGATGTCCTTCTGAAAATGCCAGTTGCCTGCTCTCTCTCTGCCCTTAGTACCTTGAAACCCAGAACAAGAACGCAACAAGTGAAAGATTAAACTCATAACTCTTAAACTGCATACTTTCAGCTCACTGACTAAGACAGTATTGAAGCCACTGGTTGACCATGATGGCAACCATGATGGCCAAGCTGCAAGCATTTTTAGAGAGGACAATGACCCCATGTTTTTCCTTAGTATAGGCTTTCTTTAAAATGACTACTATTTCCATTCAATGACAGGGTAAATGTTCCTTATAAATCTGCTCCTTTTCCACAGATATGGGGCTCTTTGGACCCCTTAGTAGGTCACGTCCTGGGACTGGTTTACAGGAGGAGCTGACCAGCAGATTGAAAGTGAATGGTATCCAATGAGCAATGAGCTTTTGGTCACTAGTAAAGACTTTAGAAGATTGTAGGGCAGGAGTCTCCAACCCCTGTGACATGACTGTACTACTATACTAACTTTATTGGACCCCACCTTATCAGGGCATGGTTGTCAAAGGGGGTGGGGAACCCTGCACTATAATTGCATGTTCCTTATTGGATCCCATTCACTCTTTGGCTGCCGGTCAGCAAATAAGGGACGAGGACCTCTCCCTGCATACAGCAAGGTTAATAGAGATCACTGCTTCTGCTCCTTTACAATCAATGTTCCCTCTACTGCTGGCTAGGGTCCAAAGGCCACACAAATGCCATAAGGGTTGCATATGGTATCAGGTTGGGCACCACCTGATACCACTTTATATGTCACGTGGGAAAAAATCAGCTTGACTTCGATATCTATCCTATGTGTCCGCTGTGTACGGATGAAACATTATTTACACAAAACAATAAGCGTGTTTAAGCCGGGATTGGGGATTAAGGTGTAAATTATTTCTGTGACCTCCAGCGTGACATTAAGCCTAACAAGCCCTCGTGGGAAATATGGGCCGGTAAGCCAGACATCAATATTATCGAAGATCAAAATGATTCATGGAACAAAGCTTTACATCCAGGCACAGGTGCGGCACCACGGAGAACAGGGGAACTCCGCACAAAGCTACAGGATGATCACAACTATAAGATGGTTGTGTGTCTAGAGTCTCCATATCTCATCTCTATAACCTTTGTGAACCTTCCCACTATTTTCTATGCACCACGGTAAAGGCTATACAGATAAACTCAACCTCTACTTTACTATAAGCCCAACCATCTCTTAGGGCAAATTCCACCTCTGCCTATCAAGAATCCATTGCCAGAGCCTTGGTGGTCCATGCTGTCTCCTACAATATCTTCAAACTAAGTCCCACCCCTTCTTAAGGCAAATCCCAGCAGTGCCTATCAAGCATCTCCAATCCAACAGGTGCATGCATCTCTATAACCTTTCTGAACATTCCCATTATTTTCTATGCACCCGAGGAGTTCACGGAAAAGGCTATACAGATAAACTTGACCTCTATTTTACTATAGGCCAACCCTCTCTTAGGGCAAATCCCTCCCCTGCCTATCAAGAGTCCAATGCCAGAGCCCCTGTGGCCTGTGCTGCCTTCAACACTAAAATGCTGGGGTGGGGCTAAGCTTCAAGTCCGGTAGAATATAAGTGTTAAGGCCTTGTGTGAAAAGGGGGGCCCCCGAGAAGCATAGAGAATGTTTATGGATCTAGATTGAACTTATGCGTGTGTGTGTGTGCATGTGCGTGTATATAATTTTTTTTAGGTGCATGGGTCCCGCAGGAGAAGGGTCTCCCAAATTAGAGTTCTGCTTTAAGGGTTTTTTTGTTGAGGGACAGAGTTTTGAACTTGCTAAGTGCTGGTCACAAAAAACTTGGCAATTGCTTTCAGCACCTCAACCTCCTGTGCCAGGCTCTTAGTGCTGAAGCAAATGTAAAAGTGGGCCACAGACACAGCAAGATGCAGAACGGTAACAGCGACTGTGCCACAAAAGGTGATGAAAGATAAAACATTTCAGGAACCGGTCACCTGTCCTGTAGCGTGCGGAGGAAGCATCGCTCTGTGAGCCATCCGCGTAGCGGGCAGAGATGGACACCTGGTACTCCGTGCTGTACTCCAAGTCGGCAAGGACCGCACTGTGTTCACCTCCCGGGACTGACAGCTGTCATGTGACGTAAGAAAAGAAGTATTTGGTTATCGGATTATCTGCAGCACATATCAGATAGTGACATCCAGTGCAGTACCTGACTGAGCCTCCCTCCGCTCAGAGGAATCCATTTGATCAAATAAGAGATGACGTCATCAGCTCCCGGGTCCCACCACACCGTGGCCTTGTCGCCGTACAGGTCTACCACTTTAACTCCACTTGGGGGCGGAACCTTCACTGTAAAATATTGTATTGCTTGTTAAAAGGAATGTACAGGCTTTTCAAAGTATTCCACTTCCACAGTAAGTCAATGTGTGGGAAGACCCACTGAAAAAAACGCACTCCATGAAAGGCTGATATAGCAACAGAGTTAGTACTGAGCCACTGACAGTGCCCATTGGCGGCTACATTCAAATTTTCCCATTGCTATCTATACACTGTTTGTTTAAAAGTTTGTGGACACCTGACTGTCACACCTATACAAGCTTGTTGGACATCCCATTTCAAAACCATGGACATTAATATGGAGTTGTCCCCCACTTTGTGACTGTAACAGCCTCCACTCTTCTGAGAAGGCTTTTACAGGCTTTTTTTGGAGGGTGTCTGTATGAATTTGCACCCATTTAACCAAAAGAGCATTAGTAAGATCAGGTACTGATGTTGGATGAGAAGACCTGGCTCACAACTGAGTTCATCCCAGTAGGGTTCAGTAGGGTTGCTGTAAGGGCCCTGTGCAGGCCAAACTCATGGAACCATGACTATATGTAGCTACCTTGTGCACAGAGGGCACAAAGCCACAAAAAGGTCTTCTCCACAAGGTTGAAGTCCACAATTGTCTTCTCCACAAGGTAGGAAGTCCACAATTGTCTTCAGCACAAAGTAGGAAGTCCACAATTGTCTTCACAAAGTTGGAAGCCCACAGTTGTCTTCCCCACAAGGTAGGTGTCCAACCACAGGCTAGGGGGCAGGTCAGTGACGAAGACGTATTGCTTAACCGCCATAAAGAAAAGTGCAGCCAACGCGCTGACTGTGGATCTCAAGACCGGCTTAACAACCCCGGCAAATCCCCTCTGAAGTTAAACCCGCGTGGTTAGTCTCTCGCCCAGTGTTCAGCTTTAAAGGTTTGCCGAACCCAAAACGCGTTGCGCGGTCCCCGCTGAAGGAGCAAAGGGAAGAAAACCGCTGACAAAATGTAAATTCTAAAATAAGCCGGCGAGAGTGATGAAAGGCGCTCGTCATGGTGGGTACACTGCGTGCAGGAAACCAATTACACGACATTAGTAGAACTAAATACCCTTGCTAATTAATTACCCAAGGACACGAATACATTTACATACTCGCCGCCGAAGACCGCACTACATTTCACCCACTTAAAGAACAAATCGGGCCTAATTATAGAAAAAAGGGGAGGATATCACAGGCAGCAGGGGACCTGATGTAATCACAGGACGTAACCCATTAACACTTTCGGCTGTGCTCTTTGTAGGCAGCCCGATAGCCAACACCCTCAGGGACAGGGCGCTCATCTCTATTACATAATGCATGCTGACTATACTAATTACATGAGAACAAACCCAAGAACGTTCTGTTGTATTCTGGTAGCAGAGTTTTCATTGTTGGATGAGAGTTAAAGGCCAACTCTGGGCTCATTTTTTAGCCCCCCTGCAGTACCTCATCTAGGCCACAAGATGTCCTCAGTCTTCTGGGTTAAATGACGCCCAGGAGAAGACTGAGGACATCCTACAAGGGCAAGGCGTCAAGGGCCACCAAAGCTCATTGCACCAACAATGTATTGGTGCAGAGAGTGGTGTGGACATCATCAGGTAAGTGTGGCCCTCTGAATCATCACGGACCACCCACGGGAAACCTGCACGTCATGTAAACAGCCTGGAGCCACTACCATTGCTGATGTCCTTCTGAAAATGCCAGTTGCCTGCTCTCTCTCTGCCCTTAGTACCTTGAAACCCAGAACAAGAACGCAACAAGTGAAAGATTAAACTCATAACTCTTAAACTGCATACTTTCAGCTCACTGACTAAGACAGTATTGAAGCCACTGGTTGACCATGATGGCAACCATGATGGCCAAGCTGCAAGCATTTTTAGAGAGGACAATGACCCCATGTTTTTCCTTAGTATAGGCTTTCTTTAAAATGACTACTATTTCCATTCAATGACAGGGTAAATGTTCCTTATAAATCTGCTCCTTTTCCACAGATATGGGGCTCTTTGGACCCCTTAGTAGGTCACGTCCTGGGACTGGTTTACAGGAGGAGCTGACCAGCAGATTGAAAGTGAATGGTATCCAATGAGCAATGAGCTTTTGGTCACTAGTAAAGACTTTAGAAGATTGTAGGGCAGGAGTCTCCAACCCCTGTGACATGACTGTACTACTATACTAACTTTATTGGACCCCACCTTATCAGGGCATGGTTGTCAAAGGGGGTGGGGAACCCTGCACTATAATTGCATGTTCCTTATTGGATCCCATTCACTCTTTGGCTGCCGGTCAGCAAATAAGGGACGAGGACCTCTCCCTGCATACAGCAAGGTTAATAGAGATCACTGCTTCTGCTCCTTTACAATCAATGTTCCCTCTACTGCTGGCTAGGGTCCAAAGGCCACACAAATGCCATAAGGGTTGCATATGGTATCAGGTTGGGCACCACCTGATACCACTTTATATGTCACGTGGGAAAAAATCAGCTTGACTTCGATATCTATCCTATGTGTCCGCTGTGTACGGATGAAACATTATTTACACAAAACAATAAGCGTGTTTAAGCCGGGATTGGGGATTAAGGTGTAAATTATTTCTGTGACCTCCAGCGTGACATTAAGCCTAACAAGCCCTCGTGGGAAATATGGGCCGGTAAGCCAGACATCAATATTATCGAAGATCAAAATGATTCATGGAACAAAGCTTTACATCCAGGCACAGGTGCGGCACCACGGAGAACAGGGGAACTCCGCACAAAGCTACAGGATGATCACAACTATAAGATGGTTGTGTGTCTAGAGTCTCCATATCTCATCTCTATAACCTTTGTGAACCTTCCCACTATTTTCTATGCACCACGGTAAAGGCTATACAGATAAACTCAACCTCTACTTTACTATAAGCCCAACCATCTCTTAGGGCAAATTCCACCTCTGCCTATCAAGAATCCATTGCCAGAGCCTTGGTGGTCCATGCTGTCTCCTACAATATCTTCAAACTAAGTCCCACCCCTTCTTAAGGCAAATCCCAGCAGTGCCTATCAAGCATCTCCAATCCAACAGGTGCATGCATCTCTATAACCTTTCTGAACATTCCCATTATTTTCTATGCACCCGAGGAGTTCACGGAAAAGGCTATACAGATAAACTTGACCTCTATTTTACTATAGGCCAACCCTCTCTTAGGGCAAATCCCTCCCCTGCCTATCAAGAGTCCAATGCCAGAGCCCCTGTGGCCTGTGCTGCCTTCAACACTAAAATGCTGGGGTGGGGCTAAGCTTCAAGTCCGGTAGAATATAAGTGTTAAGGCCTTGTGTGAAAAGGGGGGCCCCCGAGAAGCATAGAGAATGTTTATGGATCTAGATTGAACTTATGCGTGTGTGTGTGTGCATGTGCGTGTATATAATTTTTTTTAGGTGCATGGGTCCCGCAGGAGAAGGGTCTCCCAAATTAGAGTTCTGCTTTAAGGGTTTTTTTGTTGAGGGACAGAGTTTTGAACTTGCTAAGTGCTGGTCACAAAAAACTTGGCAATTGCTTTCAGCACCTCAACCTCCTGTGCCAGGCTCTTAGTGCTGAAGCAAATGTAAAAGTGGGCCACAGACACAGCAAGATGCAGAACGGTAACAGCGACTGTGCCACAAAAGGTGATGAAAGATAAAACATTTCAGGAACCGGTCACCTGTCCTGTAGCGTGCGGAGGAAGCATCGCTCTGTGAGCCATCCGCGTAGCGGGCAGAGATGGACACCTGGTACTCCGTGCTGTACTCCAAGTCGGCAAGGACCGCACTGTGTTCACCTCCCGGGACTGACAGCTGTCATGTGACGTAAGAAAAGAAGTATTTGGTTATCGGATTATCTGCAGCACATATCAGATAGTGACATCCAGTGCAGTACCTGACTGAGCCTCCCTCCGCTCAGAGGAATCCATTTGATCAAATAAGAGATGACGTCATCAGCTCCCGGGTCCCACCACACCGTGGCCTTGTCGCCGTACAGGTCTACCACTTTAACTCCACTTGGGGGCGGAACCTTCACTGTAAAATATTGTATTGCTTGTTAAAAGGAATGTACAGGCTTTTCAAAGTATTCCACTTCCACAGTAAGTCAATGTGTGGGAAGACCCACTGAAAAAAACGCACTCCATGAAAGGCTGATATAGCAACAGAGTTAGTACTGAGCCACTGACAGTGCCCATTGGCGGCTACATTCAAATTTTCCCATTGCTATCTATACACTGTTTGTTTAAAAGTTTGTGGACACCTGACTGTCACACCTATACAAGCTTGTTGGACATCCCATTTCAAAACCATGGACATTAATATGGAGTTGTCCCCCACTTTGTGACTGTAACAGCCTCCACTCTTCTGAGAAGGCTTTTACAGGCTTTTTTTGGAGGGTGTCTGTATGAATTTGCACCCATTTAACCAAAAGAGCATTAGTAAGATCAGGTACTGATGTTGGATGAGAAGACCTGGCTCACAACTGAGTTCATCCCAGTAGGGTTCAGTAGGGTTGCTGTAAGGGCCCTGTGCAGGCCAAACTCATGGAACCATGACTATATGTAGCTACCTTGTGCACAGAGGGCACAAAGCCACAAAAAGGTCTTCTCCACAAGGTTGAAGTCCACAATTGTCTTCTCCACAAGGTAGGAAGTCCACAATTGTCTTCAGCACAAAGTAGGAAGTCCACAATTGTCTTCACAAAGTTGGAAGCCCACAGTTGTCTTCCCCACAAGGTAGGAAATCCACAATTGTCATCTCCACAAGGTTGGAAGCCCACAATTGCCTTCTCCACCAGGTAGGAAATCCACAATTGTCTTCTCCACAAGGTAGGAAGTTCAAAATTGCCTTCTCCACCAGGTAGGAAATCCACAATTGTCTTCTCCACAAGGTTTGAAGTCAACAATTGTCTTCTCCACCAAATAGGAAATCCACAATTGTCTTCTCCACCAGGTAGGAAGTCCACAATTGTCTTCCCCGCAAGGTTGGATGTCCAGTAGTCCACAATGGTCTTCTTCACAAGGTTAATGTCCACAATTGTCTTTCTATGCTGTACCATGAACAGTGTCCATCATTGAAAACCCCTGAACTCAATCATCTTGACATAAACCTTTTTGGCCATACAACGTAGAACCCTGCATGTCAATGAAAAATTAGCAATTGGCAAAGTTCTGTAACCCTCAGAGACAAATGAGCAACGTCCAAGTCTATGTGGCCAGAACGTGAAGCCCATTGTTCAGAAATAACAATTTCCTTATCAACTACACGTGACATTTTTGTTTCAAGACAGAAGAAAAATTTCCATGCGAAATATCTATGTGGGCCGTGAGAGCCGGAAGACGTAGAAGACAAGTGCACTTGAAAGACTACAAGAGGCACTAATAACTTTTCCAGCCGCCGCTCTGCGCCATAGAGAAATTAAGATTTGACATTCATGTAACTTTGAAGTGAAGCTTTATTGTTCTAGATCTGCTTCTCGTCTGAGGGAGGCGTGCAAGTGACAGTCGGCGGGTTCCTTTTTCCTTTTGGTTTGCTCGCCAGGATGTTAGCTGCGTGATAGATCACAAACCAATGAGTCACATTCCTGTAAAAGAGGACCTGTCAGTTGTTTGCCATCTTCATTTATTTACACCCTGAGCCCAGCTGAGGTCCTATAACAGGAGTAGGCAACCTTGGCAGTCCAAGCTGTTGTGGAACTACAAGTCCCATGAGGCAAGGCTCTGACAGCCTTAGGTATGACTCCCAGACGCAGAGGCATGGTGGGATTTGAGGTTGCACCACAGCTGGAGTGCCACAGTTGCCCACCCCTGTTCAAGAAAGTCTCTGCTTCCTGTATGCAGTTGGAGGTGACTTGGGAAGAGCCGGTCTTGGACACGTGGACACACCCAGGTTGGTGTGCTGATGTCAATGGCGATATTTGCCTCTGTAACCCCGCCAGTTTTCCTGAAGGTCGCCGGCTCAGGATAAAGGCAGCCGGCACGTTATATAGACCCCTCCTAAGAAAGGATCGTGAGGCCCTACAGGTTATAACACAAGGCACCAGGTCCTCTTAAAGTGGGAAGATCATCTTAAAGTGGAAGGATCTCCTTAATGTGCTCTGCGTTGTCACCCTGTATGAAGTAGCCATCTCAACACACATTGCACAGACATGGTCCACTGTCTGTCGGGGAAACCGCCCTGAGGAATGACAGGAAGTAGACAATTGCGTTCCTGGGTTGTCACCTTGTCAAATTGGCGTGGCTTCAGGAAAGTAAATGTCAATTAGTTAAACACGGCTAGTCGTGAAACATTTAAACATGTCTCCGCCGTCGCTATTAGAAAGGCATTAAGTATACAAACATTCCATTCATGTTTGGTAAATCTTTGCCAGGCTCAGTGTAGCATATTATGAATGTTTCAGCAGAATTCTGAGCCGATCACATCATCGCATTAAAAGACCATTAGGCAGAAATTACATCATTCCGGTAAAACAGTCTGAAGTGCCGTTTCATAAAACCCTTCAACATAAAAATGAAATCATCTCCGGAGATTTGGAGGCCAGACCGCGAAGTGGAACTCCAGACCAAGCAACCGGGGAAGTATCAGAACCTTTCACTGCTGTATCCCTGTTCGGAAGGTTCCTGCCACTTCCTGTCCTGGTGACCACCTTTAACAAGGACAGGAATTGAGAGGCAATCTCCCAAATGTCCCTGACTCTTATACTTGGTGCCCACTATACCAAGCGCTCTCTATACTAGATGCTCCCTATACTAGATGCTTTCTCATCTAGGCTCTCTCTATACTGGACGCTCTCTATACTGGACACTTGCTATACTAGGTGCTAGAAAAAGGCGAACGCAGGAAAATCGGCGGGGAGATTTACGCCGGTCACACAAACAATGTCATGTGAAGGTGGAGCGGACCCTCGGCACCGCCATGTCAGTTAATTGGCACCGGTGACAGAATAATAATTATCGGCGCAGAGGTCGAGCACCACAAACTGGAACAAATAACAGCGACAGAGGCGTAGCCGGCCATATGTCACCGCCGACTTTGGGCAACGCGCCTCGGTCCCCCAGCGCCCAGCGGATCTGCCATTAAGGATGACATTCCGGAGCTCTGTAATTAACGCTAATTGGCCGATCTGCCCTGACTGATGACATTCCCTTGCACGCTATGGCCTTTCTGCAACAACGAGGACAGACCGAGCTGACAGCCAAAGGCAGAGCTCCGGCAGGACCCTGGCAGCGCCAATGAGTCAGATAAAGTGGGCACCGGGCAGCTCTGAGTGTGCCATTTCTTTTTTTTTTTTCAATCCTGTCACTTACATGTTGTAACGTTTCCCGTCAGAAGGAACAAAGTCTTCAGCATGCGGTTTGTGATAGCCAGGGCAATGGTATATGGAGTCTGAGAGGTCAGGGATTTCAGGGTCACAGAGGTGGTGCCACCAGGGATCTCCACCTGAAAGCAGACAGCGGTGGCGGCACAATCAGATTCAGTGGTTAGGTGAGATATAATTCAAAATAAGATAGATGATTAGAACTTCATGAGACTTTTATTGACATATAACACACAAGTCGGGGTCACCCCAACCAAACATGAGCAGTCACCCCGAATTCATAGGGAAGCTATAGCCAAAGAGTGGAGGGCAGATGAGCAGAGAGGAGAGGAGGGGATAGTAGAGGAGCAGAGGAGAGGAGCAGAGATGAGAGAAGGAGAGGATAAGAGAAGATACGAGAGGAGTAGAAAGGAGAGGGGCAGAAAGGAGAGGAGAGGAGGAGATAGTAGAGGAGCAGAAAGGAGAGGAGAGGAGGAGATAGTAGAGGAGCAGAGAGGGGGAGTAGGGAGAGGGGCAGAAAGGAGAGGAGGAGATAGTAGAGGAGCAGAGAGGAGGAGTAGGGAGAGGGGCAGAAAAGAGAAGAGAGGAGGAGATAGTAAAGGAGCAGAGAGAAGAAAGGAGAGGAGGAAATAGTAGAGGAGCAGAGAGCAGAAATGAGAAGAGGAGATAGTAGAGGAGCAGAGAGGTGGAGAACGGAGAGGTGAGGAGGGAAGGAGACAGTAGAGTAGCAGAAAGGAGAGGAGGGGAGGAGATAGGTAAGCACAGAAGAGGAGAAAAAAAGTAGACAAGCAGACAGAAAAGGAAGGAAGGAGCAGAGGACAATGAATTGGAGAAGCAGATGGAAGTGGGGAAGAGGAGAAGGGAAGGAAAGAAGAGGGGGAACGAGAGAGAGAGAGGACAGAGGAGGAGCAGAAAAGAAAAGCAGACAGGAGAAGGCCACACAGGACAGAGGATGGGAGGAGAAGGGATGGGAAAGGGTGAAAAGGAAGAGAGAAGCACATTGGAAGAAAATGAGCAGAATGGAGCAAAGCAGAAAAGAAGTGGAGCAGACAGGAGGAGGGAAGAAGATAGAAGAAGAGAAGGGGTTAGCGGAGAGAGAAGGGGTTAGCGGAGAGAGAATGAGCAGAGACATGAAGAGAGTAGCAGGGAGGAATGGGAAGAGCAGCGAAGAGAGGAGAGGACAAGTGGAGAAGTGGAGCACCTAGGAGAGGAGCAGGAAGGTGAGCAGAGAACCAGATAGAAGCAGAGAAGAAAGAAGCAGAGAGGAAAAGAGGACAAAAAAGAAGAGGGATAAAGAGAAGCAGAGCAATGAAGAGAGGAGCAGAGTTGAGAAGGCAGGAGCAGGGAGAGAGGAAAGGAGCAGAGAAGATGAGCAGAAAAGGTAGAAGAGGAGCAGGGAGGCAAGAAACACATAGGAGTGGAGCAGAGAGTGAGGAGAGAAGCAGATCGGAGATGAGATGAGAGGAGTGGAGGAGAGAGGAGCAGGGAAGAGAAGGGCAGAGAAGAAAGAAGCAGATACAGGGGAAGGAGAGTAAACAGAGGAAATGTGAATGCACCTGGGAGCATTGATGGCTTAGAAGTGAATCCAGAAGGACACGGCAAGTAAAGAATAAGGAGAAGGAAGAAAGAACCATCATATAACATAGGCAGCAGTGAATCTAGTCATCACATCTGACATAGGTGGGACATATGAAGGAGTGGACATGCACTTTAAGGCCTGAAGACTGATTAGAGAACACAACCAATGTGGTGGAATAGATTGTGCTGGAAGGAGGAGAAGCAAAGGATTCCATTCTCCTCCTGAGGGAGAAGTGGGGATCATCCTTCACCTCCAGAGTCGGCTGACTCACAATATGAACACTCACCTCTTTAGCAATGGCATTGCTCACGTCAGATGTATAAGAGATGTGCTGGATCGTTCCATTAGGTGGCGCTACCTCCCAGTACAACGTTACGCTGCTGTGGGTGACATTGGTGAACCGCAGACTGTGCCGCACTGGCTCTGAAAGAGAACGGTGACCATTAAAGGCACAGCTAGGCCTAAGACTTCCTTCACAAAGGACAAACCGCTTTATGGCCGAGCTCACTTGGTGACAGGTTCTCTTTAATATCGCCATGGAGTACTAGGACCCGGGTCAGCACTTACCTGTGGTCTGCTGTATGGTGACCGGGTCACTGGTCTCTTCTCCCGCTGCAGCTACCACAGTCACGCTGTACGTGGTATTCAGGGACAAGCCAGACACCAGGACTTTTGTGTCTCCCGTTTTAATCTGCAAAGCAAATGTTTGTGTCTAGCTTTAGAGGGCCGAGGACAAAGAAAGTGAAAATCTGACCACAGACATGTTTCGGCATCATCCAGGGTCACTATCTACTTCCTGGAGATGCCACGGTCATATAAATCCTGGCGGCTGCGCTCACAAATGTCTGCCTGCAGCAGACAGCAAACCTACTGCCTGCAGCAGACTGATGGCATCATCTAAGCTTAGGCAAATGCACCTGACTGGATCTTGAATGATCCAGGGGGAGCTTTTGTGAAAAATGATGCTGTTGCTGCATATGGTGACATGTCAGTGATTGGTAAAGTTAATCAAATGTCCACTTTAAGAGTCACCTCCTTACCTCTTTCACCTCCTCCTTATGACCAGTCTCCCATGAGTAGGTCACCATATAGTAGGAGGCGCCCTCCGATGGTTGCCAATGTACCTCAAAGGACGTGTCAGTGACTTGGACCACTGAGAGCTCACGGGGAGCAGAAAGCGGCACTGCAAGACAGAAGGGAAAAGATGGAGGGTGCCAGGGTGTCTTAGATGCCAACAGGTCACATTTCAAGCATCTGCACCGATATATTTACAGGTGGAGGTGATTCCTCGGAGTCCGGAGCCCACGCCACTGACGTAGATGGGAAAGACAGAGACCAGGTAATCGGTGCGAGCCGTCAAGTTCTTCAGGACGGCAGAGGTTGAATCTCCATCTAAGACCACCTGCAAATGAGAGAGATGCGAGACAACGGGATGTCAAGGTAAGATGGCGGAATACAAGAGTTACCAAATGTACGTAGACCATGAGAGTCAGTCTACCCAAAGGTGATGTTCAGGTTGTATGTGGAGCCTGGTGGGAAGTATCAGTTCCTGGCTTATGCTTTGTCTTGGAGGCCCCAACAGTGAGATCCCCCTGCTGACTCTGTTCCTGTCTATGTCTATGCCCACCTTTGTGTGCCCCGACTTCTCCTATTTATTACATTAAATAAATATAAAATTCACCACAGGGATGGTGGGAACCTCTCATAATGGGCACATCAGGTGTACAGACCCGGGAACTCAGCACAGGGATGGTGGGAGCTCCTCATAATGGGCACATCAGGTCTACAGACCCGGGAACTCAGCACAGGGATGGTGGGAGCCCCTCATAATGGGCACAGCAGGTGTACAGACCCGGGAACTCAGCACAGGGATGGTGGGAGCTCCTCATAATGGGCACATCAGGTCTACAGACCCAGGAACACAGCACAGGGATGGTGGGAGCTCCTCATAATGGGCACATATGTACAGACCCGGGAACTCAGCACAGGGATGCTGGGAGCTCCTCATAATGGGCACAGATGTACAGACCCGGGAACTCAGCACAGGGGTGGTGGGAGCCCCTCATAATGGGCATAGCTAGGAGCTAGGAACCAGGAACACAGCACAGGGATCTCACCAATAGAGTCACCAAGAATTGGAAGACAGGGACAGATTCAACTCCACCATCCACTCAAACACCAGTAATGGGTGGATTGATTAACCCAGGATCCTCTCCTGGCGGTTTTCAATTATGCAAACGGCATGAGATTTCAGCACTGCTCTCTGCACTTAAACACTGTGCAGGGTTCCGCTGTGATGGAGGGCGGACCAATGACACCCTGAACTCACAGTATGTTCTCAGTCTTCCAGCGTCCCTCAACCTGGAAGACTGAAGCCACCTTATGGCGGATTAAATTACTGCTGGGGACAGCACCAGAGAGGAGGTACGTGTCATCCTGTGTAGATTGGGCAGGTCATATAATTACACAAGACGACTGTTGGGGGGGGATCATTTTTTTCTACCTTTATAGGAGAGCCCACACTGTACCTCTTGAGGCGTGCCACCACGGGACGGGTAGTAGACAATACGGTACTTGCGGACGGGCTGCTGAGGAGGGGTCCAGGACACACGCATGCTCCTGGCCGTGACATCGGACACCACCAGTTGGGTGGGGCTGGGGTGCGGGTCTACGCTGACGGGCATGGCGACTTTCTGCGACCCTGGATGATGAACGCAGCAGTGAGAAATCAGATCTGGAAGGCAGCGAAGACCTCACAATGAGCTCATGCCTCACCGATGTCCACCTCCTTCCGTCTCTCCTTCAGCCGCATGCACAGCGCCCGGGACACGTCTCCCACCAGAGGGCTGAGCATGGGAAAGTCGGCTACCATGTGGACAGTCAGGTCGGTTGGCAGGGACGCCATCTCTCTCAGCTCCGATTCGTCTGCGTTCTTCACCCCTGAAAGTAAAGAGAATGTTTCTAAAATCACGATGCGTAAAAGCGCACGTACAGTCGCCGGCACAAAGGGGTCAATTTTGAACCAGAGGGCGGGGCCAGGTGGACTACACATAGATAGAAATACAATAGAAAGGGTAATAAAATGAGTAGAGGGGTTGAGGGACAGAGAACCTGTGTCGTGTCTTCATTGCTGATTGTGTCCCCGCTGGAGACCTGCGTGGTCACCGGACAGAATTAGAAACCTGACTAACGTTGTAACCCTTCCCCTACTCCTGTCAAAACACACAACCTGTTTTGAACACACAACCCCCTTTAAATAAAATGATGAGTGAAGAATGCCCGGCTTATGTGATACAGGAAGGCAACATAAAGGAAGGTTAAGGGGAAAATCGGATACTTTTGCTGGTCTGCCCACTTACCTATAGCAAACATGTATATTCCGGCCTCTTTGAGGGTCTGCGCCACTGTGATGGCGTCATCCTGGGACTTCCCGTCCGTTAAGAGGACCAGCACTTTGCCCACCTGGGCGCGCGCCCCTGAGGCAGCTCGTAGATTCTCCTCCAGCACGTGCGTGAGAGCCATACCTTCCCAAACAAGGGATACAAGTCTTATGGTGATACGGGGTCACACATATGGGGCCACAACAGAAGAAAGAAGAAGTGTTCTTACCGGTAAAGGTGTTTCCTCCCTTATACTTCACCCTTTTTATGGCTTCCAGGACTTCTGCTTTAGTGGAATAGGAGTTCAGATCCCATTCAGTCTGTGGCTCCCCGCTGTACTGAGACAGACCTGCAGGGGGCAGAGTAGAGTACATAAGCCATGGCATGTACATAGACATCCAGACTCTTCCTTTGACCTGGTCTAACTCTGATGCTCATGGCTTGTTCATATTAGGGTGCATTGCGGTAACACGTGTAATCACAATTTATTGTGCCCATGTGACCTGCTGCATTATTGTGACCCCTTCATTTTGAATGGGCACCAACATGGTATAAGCCACTCTTTAAGTCACTCTATGGTTTTGAGAGCATTGAGCATAATGTAGAATACATATATGTGTACTTTCAGTAATACAGCTGCAGTAAGGTTCTTTAACTTCCCCTCGTCCCCCACTCCAGCTCCCATTGTCTGAAACACGATGGGTTAGCATCAATCTGCAACACGTAGACCTTCCTTGGCTCATGATAGAAAACCTCACACGCCCAGTCTGATTTCTCCTGTAGGAAGGGCTGTGGGAAGATAATATATATAGACAGATACTCATATTCTGCTATCCATATCCTGACTCTTCATCAGCTACCTTTCTGGTCTACCTTCCTCCATATCCACAATGGCTGCCTCACAAATGTTTGGTCTTTTCCACATCTTTCATCCTCATGCTCTCCTCCCCAGCCTTATCCTCTCCTCTTGGAACCTCTTTGTCCCATCCATATCCTCTCCTCTTTGAACCTCTTGTCCCAGACTTATCTTCTACTCTTGGAACCTCTTTGTCCCAGCCTTATCCTCTCCTCTTGGAACCTCTTTGTCCCAGCATTATCCTCTCCTCTTGGAACCTCTTTGTCCCAGCCTTATCTTCTACTCTTGAAACCTCTTTGTCCCAGCCTTATCCTCTCCTATTGGAACCTCTTTGTCTCAGCCTTATCCTCTCCTCTTGGAACCTCTTTGTCCCAGCCTTATCTTCCACTCTTGGAACCTCTCTGTCCCAGCCTTATGTTCTATTCTTGGAACCTCTCTATCCCAGCCTTATTCTCTCCTCCTGGAACCTCTTTGTCCCAGCCTTATCTTCTACTCTTGGAACCTCTCTGTCCCAGCCTTATCCTCTCCTCCTGCAACCTCTCCATTCCAGCCTAATCTTCTACTCTTGCAACTTCTCTGTCTCATCCATATCCTATCCTCTTTGAACCTCCCTGTCCCATCCATATCCTCTCCTCTTGAAACTCCTTTCTCTCAGCTGCTCACTCCCATCCAATGGCCTCCTACTTCGGGAAAAGACCCTCTTAGGTGTCACCAGAACAGGTGACCCCACTGGTTGACTTCCTGTAACCCTGTTTCAGCAAAACCTGTAACATTTATGGCTTTCCCCTCATTTTCTGGTCACCAGGACAAAGAGAGAGGTTGAATCTCCCCAGTGGAAACAAAACCTGACAGTAGCTCTAACCCTTCCCTATTCCATCCAAAACTAAGCAAAAAGAATTGGCTTTAGACCCTGAAATTCTCCATCCGCCATCTTTGGCTTTCACATATGAAGCAATCAGGTCCTCATCTCTAGGACTTCTGAAGGCACTGTTCCTACCCTCCCATGACACAATAGTCTAAGTACCGACTCTAATCTTGTCCCTGGAGATGTGGAGGGGGCTGAGAATCCCCCACAGGAAGTTCTTCACCAGTCTGAAGTTGGCGCGTCCCACGCTCCAGGAACTGTCCACCAGCAGAATTATGTCCCACTCCAGCGCTGTGTCACACTGGTGCACCGGCCCTGGCCACAGAGAGAGACAATGTAAGACAATACAAGGTAACATAAAGCTTCTAATATCCAGAAAACATCATCACTGCAAGTTGGACTTTCTTAAATCTTTCCTTAAATCAAGCAGGACTTTCACAGTGACTGCAGCCTTTCGAAAATGATTCTGGATCTTGCAACCTGAGGGTCACATGCCTCTGTATGCACTGCTTGCAGTGGTGTGAAGTAGGGATGTTAATCATCTATTTCAAAATATTGTCACCCTCCATGTGTTAGCAGCCACAAGGCCTTGAGTTTGACTCCCACCAAAGACACTATCTGCATGGAGTCGGTTCACGATTCCTCCTCTCCACAACTCTGGCAATCATTTACAACATCTTTGCTGACCTTGGGGTACTGATACTAGGAGGACCTTATGCAAGAGCAGATGACTTCTAGGCGCTGTCTGGGGTCATGTGACCAGGCATCGAAGGGATGCAGACCCTACAGAAGTAAGGTACATTCTGCATCTCCATTAGAACATGGTAAAGGCAGGATTTTACCGTACCTCCTTTATTTTTCGGCAGAGGCCTACTTTACCGAAGCGCCAGGAAGACAAGCTTGGTATTATTTTTGGAATTTTTGTGATTTTTTTTTATGCAGCATAAAAATCCTGCCAAAAAAACACAATTAAAAAATAAAGGGAAGGGGAGAAAAAAATATCTTTATGTATCAAGAGTAAAAGGGGTGAAATAAAAATTGAGGTCTGGTCTCCTGAGATCTGATTGGCTGTTCAGTTTGGCCCCGTTCCCTGTGCTCCAGGTATTCTATCGCGGATGAGGAGAAGCCGACGTGAGGCACTAAACATAGACAGGCGGGAGATCGATATCTATCAAGCCTCGGGAAAAAGCACAGCAGGCTCGTCAATCAGGATTTTTACTCCCGAGAGACCCTCCGCGTCGACTCGATCATTAGAGTTCAGAAGATCAGAGAGACAAATTAGTGAGCTCGCTGAGACGGACGGGTAATTGCGAAGGCCGATTTACCTCTCCGTGGGGTGCTGGGGGTCACTGACACCTCTCGTTCTGACTTGGAGGAAATTTTCTGGGTAGGTCTAGGCAGCAGGGTAGCATTCTGGGGACCAGGCTTTCGCCCTTCGGGCACCTGTGATCTGGGGCTTGGGGTATCCAACTGCTCCTTGTCCTCTCTCCGCTCTAACATGAAATACAAAAAAAACATAAAAGAGTTAGCTTGCTTAACACCATCCACCCAAAAGCAATATTCCAGGAGAGTTAAAAGGGTATGTCCACCTTTCACTCTTGACTTCTCTATAATGTTAGATGGACAGAGGTTATTAGCTCCACCTGTGTGCCCTGTGTCAACACAGTACCTTTATGTCACACACCAAGACAACATATAAACGCCACGGACATCCAAACATGGCTGAAAGCTGCCGCAGTTATGAAAAGGCAATGGGTTGCAGGGTGGGAGGACTTGAAGAAGCCAGAAGGTCATGAAGGTTATGGAGGTCTAGTAGGTAAAGAAGGTTATGAAGGTCTAGAAGGTTATGAAGGTCTAGAAGGTTATGAAGATCTAGCAGGTAAAGAAGGTTATGAAGGTCTAGAAGGTTATGAAGGTCTAGAAGGTCAAGAAGGTTATGAAGGTCAAGAAAATCAAGAAGGTTCAGAAATTCAAGAAGGTTATGAAGGTCTAGAACGTAAAGAAGGTTATGAAGGTCTAGAAGGTAAAGAAGGTTATGAAGGTCGAGAAGGTTATGAAGGTCAAGAAGGTTATGAAGCTCTAAAAGGTCAAGAAGGTTATGAAGGTCAAGAAAATCAAGAAGGTTCAGAAATTCAAGAAGGTTATGAAGGTCTAGAAGGTAAAGAAGGTTATGAAGGTCTAGAAGGTAAAGAAGGTTATGAAGGTCGAGAAGGTTATGAAGGTCAAGAAGGTTATGAAGGTAAAGAAGGTTATAAAGGTCTAGAAGGTTATGAAGGTCTAGAAGGTTATGAAGGTAAAGAAGGTTATGAAAGTCTAGAAGGTTATGAAGGTAAAGAAGATTATGAAGGTCTAGAAGGTTATGAAGGTCATGAAGGTCTAGAAGGTAAAAAAGGTTATGAAGGTCTAAAAGGTAAAAAAAAGGTTATGAAGGTCTAAAAGGTAAAAAAAAGGTTATGAAGGTAAAGAAGGTTATGAAGGTCTAGGAGTAAAATAAGGTTATGAAGGTAAAGAAGGTCTAGAAGGTAAAGAAGGTTATGAAGGTCTAGAAGGTAAAGAAGGTTCTGACGGTCTAGAAGGTAAAGAAGTTTATGAAGGTCTAGAAGGTCAAGAAGGTTACGAAGGCCTAGAAGGTTCCTTCCAAATGGTGGAACCCCTAGAAAACAGACCTCTCCTAAAGCGCCATGTGGCACTGTGACAGCTCTACGTCCACCACTCACCTGTGACTGTAATACTGCCCTCTGCTGGTGAGGAGGACTCCATGACCCGCGGTGTTGGGGTGACGTCCACCTTTTTCTTGTCATTTCGGACTTGGGTCTTCAAATCTTCAACTGCAATCAGACAACAGAATTGATTCTAGACCTAGCACCTGATAAATGTGTCCATGATAAGTACATGCATGCTAAGTAATGTGTAAACCTGGCCATATATGGTTCAAATTACAGCTGAATTATCTACAAAGACGGCACCATCTTTGTTCAGGCATAATCTTGGGTCACTATCTACTTCTTGAACTTGGAATGCCAGTTCAGAGATGACTCAGTCATCTAAATCTTGGTGCCTGTGCAGTTCTTGGCTGTGCTCAGAAATTATTGATGCAGATCAGCCCCTGCAGCAGCCTTTTGCGTTGTGACTACATGGGTACAGTGTACAGCCTGATCACTGTTGGGAGAGGAGACTGAGGAAATGCTTCTTCCTGCCTGCACAGACTTGTGACATAATCTCAGAAAAGGCAAAGTCACAGGAGATCAGGAATGGCTTCACTTTAAAAATGATACACACGCATGATATGCTATGGGTGTAGGCATTGATAACACTAGCTCAGGTGTAACATACAGATCTACCTTATATCAAAGGGTCACATGTGTCTTAGATTTAGAAAAAGAAGTTCTCTTTCTAAGGTAATATATTAGCAAATTGTTTCCTTTTATTCCCTCCTCGTCTTGTTGTTGGCTGATAAGGAAATTGAGGTTAAAAATGAAAAAAAGAAACCAGCAGCCCCATCAAACAGTGAGGCCCATAGGCAAAGGCCTTGTGTGCCCAACTCTTAGTTCTGTAGGCTTATGGTGTATAACTCACTGATGAACTTCTTCTTGGCAATTAAGGTGTTCTGCCCTCCTTGGATGACGTGTATCTGTAGGACGTACTCCTTTACGGGGTCCAGGCCTCCCACCGTAGCCTTGGCTGTCTTTGTTTTCAACATCACTTCCTGTTCAGGATCCCCTTAAAGGAGAAAGGCAAAAAAAAAAACAGGTAATCTGGGGTAATTTGCAGTCATCAACTGTCCCTAATTGGATGGAGACCTGTCCATGGAATTCTGAGCCTTGAATAAGCCATGCGTGGCTGCATAGCCGGTACATAGCAGAGCAAGGAGTGCTCTCCAGAGTGTTGGCCAAACTGGCATAAGGACTAAAACAAGGGCACAAGTATTTGCCTGAAAATGGGTGGAGTGGGTGAGACTTGGGAGCCCCTGGGTGGACTTTGTTTTTGGATTTTACCCAATATACATTTTTTTTGCTAACAAACTATATGCTGCCTTATGCGATGCACAGAACTGTTCACATTAGTCTCCGCCCCCGAGGAGCTTGCACTTTTCAGTCTCTAGCAACATCATGTACATTTTGGTGAGCAACATTTATCCTACCACTATGGCACCGGGAGAAAAGTCACACATAATACGGGAGGGCAAACACATGCTGGAGGATAGAACACCAGTGGGAACTAAGCTCAGGACCCCAGTGCTGCTGGGGTGTATTGGCCAGTATGGAACACCAGTGGGAACTAAGCTCAGGAGCCCAGTGCTGCTGGGGTATATTGGCCAGTATGGAACACCAGTGGGAACTAAGCTCAGGAGCCCAGTGCTGCTGGCGTATTTTGGCCAGTATGGAACACCAGTGGGAAGTAAGCTCAGGAGCCCAGTGCTACTGGGGTGTATTGGCCAGTATGGAACACCAGTGGGAACTAAGCTCAGGAGCCCAGTGCTGCTGGGGTATATTGGCCAGTATGGAAAACCAGTGGGAACTAAGCTCAGGAGCCCAGTGCTGCTGGGGTATATTGGCCAGTATGGAACACCAGTGGGAACTAAGCTCAGGAGCCCAGTGCTGCTGGCGTATTTTGGCCAGTATGGAACACCAGTGGGAAGTAAGCTCAGGAGCCCAGTGCTACTGGGGTGTATTGGCCAGTATGGAACACCAGTGGGAACTAAGCTCAGGAGCCCAGTGCTGCTGGGGTATATTGGCCAGTATGGAAAACCAGTGGGAACTAAGCTCAGGAGCCCAGTGCTGCTGGGGTATATTGGCCAGTATGGAACACCAGTGGGACCTAAGCTCAGGAGCCCAGTGCTGCTGGGGTATATTGGTCAGTATGGAACACCAGTGGGAAGTAAGCTCAGGACCCCAGTGCTGCTGGGGTATATTGGCCAGTATGGAACACCAGTGGGAACTAAGCTCAGGAGCCCAGTGCTGCTGGCGTATATTGGCCAGTATGGAACAATCCCAAAGTCCTCCGACGAAAACTCCCAGAATCCTCTTGGCACTTACCCGTCAGCGGTTTCACTAGCACCTTATAAACGTTGCTGGTCCCCTCCGCCTCCTTCCATTTCATCTGCAATCTGTCCTCAGCCAGAACGGCCAGCCTTAACCGTCCAGAGCCTGCAACACGGGACAGAAATAGACTCGTCATTTTCTCTGAAAGTGGAATCCAGCAGAGCAAAATAACCGGAGAGGGAACACGGCCGGAGGTGAGAGAAACACAAGCTGGACAAAGAGAACCTGTTACCAAAGCCCAGTGTTGGGGGTCACTTAGTTCATCCGTTTTGTAGGAAACTGTGACACTGCAAAGCAGCATTAATAATGGACTAAGTGTTGTATCCCGGGGCAACTGGTGTCAGCTGACTTGATTCTGATTGGCTGCTAAGGGTCTTTTTTAGTAAAACAAAGTGCCATGATTTACCAAAAAAAAAAAGAAACTGTTCAGCAAAGTGATCTCTTCCCACGAAAGCACTACAAAGCTGTATTTCAATTAACAATAGGGAGATTGGAGTGTATTTTCACTGAGTACATCACTCAAGTTATCATTCTGAATCTTCCCGGAGAGTAACTGTGATGTTATGCTCAGTTTTTGTACTTCCTTGCTGTTCCATATTTTGATGATGGTGTCTCTATGAAGGGCACAGCTCTCCGGAGATTGATGTCAAAGTGACACCTTGTGGCCGAACTGAAAAATGCAGGGATAGGAAATGTCACGATGTACAGTGCAGAGTCTGAAAAAGAGAGGGGAAAAAGGGAAGGGAAGAGAGAGGGAAGATAGAGGAAGAAAGAGGAAAAGGAGAGGAGGAGAGAGGGAAAGGAGAGGAGGAGAGAGGGAAAGGAAAGGAAGAGAGAGGGAAAGGAAAGGAAGAGAGAGGCAAAGGAAAGGAGAAGAAGAGAAGAGGAAAGGAGAGGAAGAGAGGGGAAAGGAGAGGAAGAGAGGGGAAAGGAGAGGAAGAGAAGAGGAAAGGAGAGGAAGAGGGGAAAAGGAGAGGAAGAGAAGGGGAAAAGAAAGTAGAGAAAGAGAGGGGGAAAGGAAAGGAGAGTAAGAGAAGGGGAAAGGAGAGGAAGAGAGAGGGAAAGGAAAGGAGGAGAGAGGGAAAGGAAAGGAGAAGAGAAGGGGAAAGGAAAGGAGAAGAAGAGAAGGGGAAAAGTAAGGAGAGGAAGAGAAGGGGAAAGGAAAGTAAGAAAGAAGAGAGAAAGGAAAGAAAATGAAAGAGGATGGAATAAGAAAAGGAAAGAGGAATTACAAAAGAGAGGAAAGAGTAAGGAAGAAAGAAAGAAATAGGAATGAAAAATTGAAAGAGAAGGAAAGGAATAAGGAAAGAAAAAAAAAGCAATATGGGTGAATAGGGAAGCGGGCGATAGGAAAGAAAAGGAAAGAGGATGTCAGCGATTGAAAAGAGGAAAGGAAGAAAGAAAGAGAAAGGAAAAAAAAAGAAGAAAAGATAAAAGGAAGAAAGTATGAATAAAAAAAAAAGGAAGCAAAAGTAAAGAAGGAAGAAAGAATCAGAGAGATAAAGGATAAGCAAAGAGGACGGAAAGAAGGAATTGGGAACAGAAAGGAAAGAAGAAATAGGAAAGGAAAAGATAACACCTTTTTCTGCAAAGTGAAAACCCTTACGGGGAAGGAAGGAAATGGAAAGTGAAGGCAGAAAAGGAAGGAAGAGAAGGAAAGGGAAGGAATGGAAAGCGAAGGAAAGAAGGAAGGAAGATAATGAAAGAGAGAAAAGTGAAGAAAGCAAAGAAGGAAGAAAAGGGAAGGAAGGAAAGATGGGAGGGATGGAAGGACTTATAAGCAAAGTGGCAGCACTAGCCTTTTCCCTGTGCCCGGGGCCCCGTGCCCTTCCAGCCCTGTAGCAATGAGAAGTTGTGTCATACTTGAAATGCTACTTTTGCTGCTGCATTTTGTTCCCATGGGGCCCTTCTCTTCATGTTTTACCCCCCAGACCTCATTTGTACTATATGTACAGACAAGACAACGAGTCACCTGATCTCCCCTGGAAGTGGACCGGCTACAAATGACTCTGCCGTACACCCGGACTACCAGCCAAATAACAAACCGCGCGAGTAAATGATTGGGAGAGGCGTACGAAAATAGCTGCGAGAAGAGCGGTAATGTCACTGGTGGCGGAGGTTGCTTCACTAATGGCCACTGTAGCCATGGCAACCGCACATCAAGTGCTCAAACTATCAAGGAATAATGGGAGATGAGAAAAGTGGGGGATCCCTCCAGACTGGGACCAATTAGAAGTGTGAGATAAGAGGAGGCGGTAAAATGTCACGAGGAACATGCAAGACCGAAATAAGCGACACATTTATTTAAAGGGGCCTTCCTCCAAAAATGGGGTGCAGTATGGACCTTTTCCCCAAAAATGGGGTGGAGTATGGGTCTATCCCCCTATAGCTGCTATACAATTCTTGGGAACTGTCTTTTGTTTTTATGCTGCACGGGAAGGCAATTGTTTTTTAGTTTGGGCTTTAGTAGGAAAGGGTATGTGTCCCCATTGGGGGGATTCACTCTCACTACTGGTCTTGATGACCACTGTCACCGAGGCAAAAAGTGAGGAGGATGGATTTGGTAACTTTAGGGAGATTTCCTCTCATTTCCTTTTGTGTCTTCAAGACAGGAAGTGAATGCAAATCTCCCCAGGGGGACGCCGGCAGCAATATTTTATCTGAAACACGGTTTTAACCCTTTGCTAGTCCAAAAAAAAAAAGGTTGGGCTTTACATGCAGTTTAAGCTTCTCCCGAGACAACTCCGCAGCTTCTATTAATACAAAAAGCAACTGCGAGCACTAATGATGGAACATCACATACAATTACCGGCAATCGCTGTCCTCCTTTCTGTCCTCCTTTACATTTTTGGAGCTTCTGAAGACAGACATCTTTGAAAGCCTCCCCAGTTCCCGTGCGCAGTACATTCGATATTTCAATTACCAAAAAGCATAAAGAACAATTTTGATCCATTAAGTCAATCCAGGGATTTGAGTCAGCAATTCATCTCGCTTGCAAAACTCTTTCCTGCCAGTAAAACTAACGGCACGCTCTGCAACCAGAGATTGTTCCCTCTCTGAGCCAGACCAAGGGATCTGCAGACACAGAAAGGAAAGTTACTGCGTGCAGATGGGCGACTGGCAACTATAAACAAAAGCCACTTCCATAGGAAGGAAGGGTCACACATTGCGGCCGGGGGGACTTCGGGAGGAGCTGCAAAGGGTCACTGGAAAGAGGGGGCTACGCGGTGTTCTAGCTCTGTGCACCCGAAGCTGATGTGTTCTAATATAATCCTGACCCGAAAGCTTACCGCCTAACCTAACCCTGACCCTAATGCCTAAACCCTAACCATGACCCTGATGCCTAAACCCTAACCATGACCCTGATGCCTAAACCCTAACCATGACCCTAATGCCTAAACCCTAACCATGACCCTAATGCCTAAACCCTAACCTTGACCCTAATGCCTAAACCCTAACCTTGACCCTAATGCCTAAACCCTAACCATGACCCTAATGCCTAAACCCTAACCATGACCCTAATGCTTCACTTCTAACCTAAGCCTTACCCTACTGCCTAACCCCTAACTTAACCTCTAGCCCACCTCTGGCCCTAATGCTTAACTGCCAACCTAACCCCGACCCTATTGCTTAACCTCTAATATAATCCTGACCCCCTACTAATGCTAAACCTCTAATTTAACCCTGACCCTAAAACTAAACTTCTAACCTAACCCTCATCCTAATGCTTAACACCTAACTCAACCCTGATCCAAATGCCTAACCTGACCCTGACCCTTAAGCTTAACTGCTACCTCAACCTAATACTTAACCTCTAACCTAACCCTGACATAAAGTTCCCATAATGCCTCAGGTAGCCAAAGACCATGTGATCTCATGTGTTCTTATAGGGTAAAAGGGACCTCTGCCTGGTCACGCAGCTTTGAGCAGTCTATGCAGCCTTCTGCACCTCTCACACTGCTCAGTCACTCACACAGCTGCCATCCTCTGAGCTGTGAATAAGAGACTGTGACAGCATCAGAGCAAAAGACACGAACAGGAGTGACAGATGTACCTGAGACCAGGAAGACTGAGGGGGGGAGTGAGAGAGCCCAGGGGAGACTATAGTGAGGGAGAGAGCCCGGGGAGACCATAGTGAGGGAGAAGGGCTGGGGGAGACCATAGTGAGGGAGAGAGTCTGGGGAGATCATAGTGAGTGAGAGTGTCTGGGTGAGACCATAGTGAGGGAGAGTCTGGGGGAGACCATAGTGAGGCAGAGAGTCTGGGGGAGACCATAGTGAGGGAGAAAGGCCGGGGAGACCATAGTGAGGGAGAGAGGCCGGGGAGACCATAGTGAGGGAGAGAGTCTTGGGGAGATCATAGTGAGTGAGAGTGTCCGGGTGAGACCATAGTGAGAGAGAGTCTTAGGGAGACCATAGTGAGGGAGAGAGTCTGGGCAGACCATAGTGAGGGAGAGAGTCTTGGGAAGACCATAGTGAGGGAAATAGTCCAGGGAAGACTATAGTGAGGGAGAGAGATGCTGGGGAGACCATAGTGAGGGGGAGAGGCTGGGGAGACCATAGAGAGAGAGAGAGAGTCTGGGTAGACCATAGTGAGGGACTCCAGGGGAGACCATAGTGAGGGAGAGAGTCTTGGGGGAGACCATAGTGAAAGAAAGAGTGTGGGGGAGGCCAAGTGAGAGAAAGAATCCGGAAGAGACCATAGTGAGGGAGAGAGTCTGGGGGAGACTATAGTGAGGGAGAGAGGCTGGGGGAGACTATAGTGAGGGAGAGAGGCTGGGGGAGACCATAGTGAGGGAGAGAGTCTTGGGGAGACCATAGTGAGGGAGATAGTCCAGGGGAGACTATAGTGAGGGAGAGAGTCTTGGGGAGACCATAGTGAGGGAGAGAGTCTTGGGGAGACCATAGTGAGGGAGAGAGTCTGGGGAGACCATAGTGAGGGAGAGAGTCTTGGGGAGACCATAGTGAGGGAAATAGTCCAGGGGAGACTATAGTGAGGGAGAGAGGCTCAGGAGGGGGTTGAACAAGGCAAGGTGAGATAGAGAGCCTGGGGGGTAGAACATGGAAGGATGAGAAATTAGAGGCTGGGGGGTTGATAAGGGTATAGGACAAAGAGGCCTAGGGAAGACCAGAGTATGGGGCAGATAGACTGGGTGGGGTAGGATGGAGGGCAGAAGGCAGGCAGTCTTATGGAGGGGGGTAGAAAGAAATGGATTGGGAACTTTCCGGAGAGAGCTTTGCCGGGAAAACACTTAGGAGGGAATTCGAGTCAGAAGACGTTCCTGTCCGCTCCTCTCATCCTTCCAGCTCCATCAGAGCAGAAACCTCCTCAGACAGTGTAAAGATAATCCGCATCTCTCTGTCGCCCCCGGCACGCGCCGTGAAAACCGTCTGAGCATCACTCCAGTGCAGAGTGTCTCCATTCCTTCCGTGCTTGGGGCCACACCGGGCTCAGGTGCGCTATATCAACCTCCTTAAAGAGCACCTGTCACCCACACACAAATGGAGGCAGCCACAGCAACGTTCCATCATCACAGCTTATCGCTTTACTAGAGAGGTGACACCACTGCCACAGCTATGACATCACAGATACTCCAGAGAACACGGTCTGCCTCATCTAGAAAAGGCAGTGACATCACAGCGGTCGCCATTTTGTACACCCCTCGTTACAGGTTTTTTAGAGGCCCCAATGCGTGGGACTTGGAGCGCTGGGACCGCGCCGCCTTCCATCTAAGTATGAATAGTCACAGCTCCCATTATGAATTATTGGCCTGAAGCATAGTCTCTGTCCTTTCCTCCATCCCCCCCACTTCTCCCCCCCCCTCGGACAGAATTCATTGTCCTCAAAGAGCCCCGGATTCCGCTCTGCCAAAATTACCCCTTTCCCAACAGCCGCTGCGGAGAAAAGTCTTTTTTTTTTGGGTGACTTATTTCTTTTTGAAAGTTTACAAGTTAATAAAGTCACGTTTTGTGTTTTTACAGGGTGCTCTTAAGACCACTGGGCTTTCTGAAGAAAGCCCAGCACTGCTGTCATCCTTTATGGCATACAGTGTTATTCTTCTAATTTGAGAAAAACTGAAATGTAACATGCATGTGACGCATTTACTTAAAGGGCTCCCAAAAGGAATGCCCTTGGCCTCAAAGGCGCAAAGTCCTTTGTGAAGGGGTTAATAAGTGGATTTCCGCCCTGCGTCCGCCGACTGGGAAGATGGATATCCACTCGAAGGACGCACAAGGACGGTAATGTCTTCACATGACAATAAAGGGATTCATGGGAAGACACAAGCGGACGCACACGGTGCCGCAGCTGGGCGCTCAGCCCGTCTCCGAGGTCAGACACAGCGTGACATTCACAGGTCCCGCCGGCCTCTCCTGACACACGGCCCCCTGTTGCTGGAGACGCGGCGCAAGAATGCTCGCAGAAAGGGCGGGTCGGGGGGGAAGGAGAGGAAGGGGGGAGTCTAATTGCGGCACAGGGGATGATTGAACAGGAAGTAAACACAGGATTCCGGAGAGGTGCCAAAAATAGAAAACAAACTTCATTCATTGTAACGTGGTGTACGCACGACCGCGTCCACTGCGCCCCACGAACCGTTTCTGTTTTGGGGCCACGAGCCTTATTATGGCCTTACCCAAGGGGGGGCGCACAGGGAAGGGGGCTTCAGACAGAGACCGAAGCTTTATATAACTTTTTAGTTGATTTTGTTTTATGTAACTTTGTAGCTGTTTTTTTTACGCAACTTTGTAGATATTTTTGTAGCTGTTTTTTTATATAACTTTGTAGCAATTTTTATGTAACTTCATAGATTTTGTTTTTATGTTATCTTTGTAGCTATAACAAAACTTGAAGGAACCCTAAAATACACCTTATCCAAGGAGGCCCCCAAAGGGAAGGCAGCTACAGACTGAAGTTTAAAGTGAAATGTTTGATATACACACGTGAAAGTCAGCGGTTTAATCCTTTATATACAAAGTTATGTTCTATTGTCTTTGTTATTAGGTTAAAGAAGAACTCTGGGCAAAAATGTTTTTAATCTTTGCAGTGAGGCTACCCCCCTAACTCCCCCCCCCCCCCCCCGCACTGCAAGGGGTTAACCTGTTCATTTTTCTCTAAGGTTCAAAAATAAAATGATACTCACCCAATCTTCGGAGCAGGCTGGCTGTGATAGCGCTCCCTCTAGCTTGTCTCCTCCTCCGCAGTGATGGTTTGTCCCACGGGCCCCTCGCGTCCGATACACAATGCATTGGATGCGATGACTCGAGAATTCTCAGACCAAAGTGACGACGTTTTTGATACAAACACTTTAAAGTGAGTGGATTTATCTACTATCTATAGCAAGTGTGTTTTATATATTCATAACAACTTTGTAGCTGGTTTTGTTTTATGTAAGTTTCTACCTATTTTTACTTTTATGTTCATTTCAGAGATATTTGTGTTTATATTTTTTTGTTGCTATCAATATACTTAAAGGAACCCAAAAATACATCTTACCCACAGGGGGGCCCCAAAAGGTGGCTGCGGACTGATAGGCTGAAGTTTTAATGTATACAAATGAATCTTCTTTATATAAAGTATCTTCTATAGTCTTTGTTTTGTTTTTTGGGAACTTTGTAGCTATTTTATTTATTTATTTTTTATGTCACTTTGTATTTGTTTGTTTTTTTTAATGGAACTTTGTATCTGTTTTTGTTTTGGGTTTTTTTTGTGCAACCTTGAAGCTGCTTTTGTTTTGTTTTTTGGTTACTTTGTATCTGTTTTTGTATAGGGGGGGTTTGTGTTGTTTTTTTTCATGGTAACTTTTATAGTGCTTTTGTTTTTTTAATGGAACATTGTATCTGGTTTTATATGAACTTCGACTATCCATATACCTGGAGGAAGTTATATTGTATTGTGCAGTCTCTATACAATCTCCTACGCAGACAATGCAGTTGAAGCCCTTTCCCAAACTATCCAGTCCATCTGTACCCAGTCACATGGGCTCCTGGACCACGGGGTGGTTGGTAGAGCTACAGAGATTGCACAATCAGACTGTCAGGTGTATGGTCATCTATAAGTGATGTTCTGGATTTCGTCAGTGTCCTGTGATATTCTGGGCCAGGGATATACATGGAGCAGCTCTTGTAGTCAGCGGTGCTCGTCATCCAATGAGAGATCTGCCAGCCTGCTGGAGAGTCTCCCGGTACGAGGGCCTAATCCTGTGCTCGGGGAGGGATCCAACCTCCGGCAAGGTGGGACGTGACGATGGGACGGGAGATAACTTCCTACCTGTCATTCTTCCCGTCTGTGGCCGCCCCTAGGCTAATTGGGCTTATCTCAACCGTCACTCAACCAGAGTGACAACTCCATCTGTCTGACACTCAGATAATCCCCACAATATAATGAGAAGGAAACTACAAATATAAAGTCACATCAAACGTTACTGACAGTAGATGTAACACCCTAACTGGATGACATTGCACCCAGTCTCTTATCCAAATGTTATTTTTAATAAAACTCATTTAATCAACAAATTATTAATTTCATTAATTTCATTGTTTGTTCCATCTCAGTGCTGCTGACCTCCTGCAGCCGCTTTGCAGCCACGTCCTGTCTACATACACTCAAGCGATGGCTTTTCTCAGGGTTTCCTGATGGTGGACAACAGTGGACCGTGCCTGTGTAATGTGAAGCCAATGCGACAGGGTGACAACACAGGTAGACCCATTGGGAGAAAGGGACAGAGTGTTGTCACCCTACAAGAGGAAGTGCCTGATGAAGACATTTCATGTCAGGATAACCAGGGATTATTTTAATAAAAGATGCCAACTAAAATTAAAAAAATTAATTAAATAAAAAAAAATGATATATATATATATATATACACACACACACACACACTTTTTTTTAACACTTCATTTAAATTACACAATTAGAATAAATTTCAGACACAACATAAAGATGCTTGTATAAGCTCAATCATGACCGGTTCTCTTTAAAGGCAACGTGCACATATGAGATCAGCTTCATGTAGAGCAGCGTTGGGCAACTCGGGCCCTCCAGCTGAGCTTTAACTACAAATCCCATGATGCCTCTGTCTCTGGGAGTCATGTCTGTAACTGTCAGGCTTTTGCAATGCCTCATGGGAGTTGTAGTTCGACAACAGCTGGAGGGCCGAAGTTGCCCACCCATGCTCTAGTGGGGAATCTATGTTTATATTTATACAATGTAACATCGCCGTGTCAATATTTACATGAGAATTCCCTTTTCAAACTGAAAATATGATACAATGTCCCTTTAATGATGTAGACGCACAGCAGGGCTGGGGTGGCCATTTTTTAACGCTGAACTCTGGGGGAAGTTTCTGAGGTAACCTTGCAGTGAGGCTCTTCAGCACTCAAAGGGTTAATTGCTCCTTTTGCCAGGAAATATGACTTTTACTTATAAGACCTCTTGCTCCCCATCCTCCCTCCTTGTGCAGGGTGACCGGTCTGGTCTCCGCCCTCTCTTCTAGTTATCTGTAGTGGGTGGAGCCTTCTGGGCCCCTCCCACAGCTCTGCTCTCTGCACAGGCTATGATGATGTCACTGCTACTCATACAAGGTAATATCTGGCATTGCAAAAGCATTTTGGTCACACACATTGGATCTGCATGCTTTGTGTCTATGGAGGAATATGTTTAATGGAAGTTCCTGTGCCCGGAGTTCAGCTTTAATGTCTCGCACACACAGTTCTGTCTGCTCCATGGAAGCGGAAAAGCGTGCAATGTCTCTACAGATCCCCTCGTCTGATTCTGACAAGGGGAAGTTCTAGGCCTGCGGGCGGGGGGGGGGGGATTGTCTGGTTGGGGGACCCGTCTTACCTGAAGCCTGGAGACTGCTGACGGCCCGGATAATGATCAGTGCGAACAGGAGCTGCATGGTGACTGATCTGTGAGAAGACATGGAATGAGACAGGTAAGGTGCCAAGCTCCGCCTACACCCCCCCAAAAATCACTTCTACAACATCTATGTCATTGATTTCACCGTTATTACAATCTGACTTGTCGGGATGATCTGTCCAATCAATGGATACAACGGATCTTAATAGAACCATTTTTACCTTTGTATGCTGGGGGGAGGGGAGGGGGTACCCCTGTCGGGTTGTTTCTGTTCTCTGCATCCCTACTGGGCACATTCGCCCTTGGACTCCCATCCCTATCTGACAGCTGTCCTCCCCTTCCTACAGTATACCTGGTAGGAACTCCAATCCCCATCTGACAGATCCCCCCACCCCACCGGGCCCTCTACACCCTTCCTGACAACCTTTCCACGGAACAAACACTCCATTCTAAACTAGATTTTCATTAATTGGAGGAGTTCAGTTTAAAATGGGTGCCAACCGCCAAACTCCTCCTCCAGCGGCTTCAATGCCATCGTTGATCAAGGGGCAAGCATGGCGATTGCAAACCCCAGCTTTATCTGCCGTGTGCTCTGTACAGGACAGTACTGAAGCCATACACGCCATGAATGTACAGGTCCTGGAAGCATATAAGAGGTCCTGACTTCACTGGCCGCATGCTTGTCCCAAGGCAGTGACACAGGATCAGCGCTTTCAGGAGGAGATGGGCAATGGCAGCCATGACATGGGATGAAAGAAAGGGTTAATGCTTTAAATCCTGTGTCTGGAAGAGGATGATGTGTCTACACTTCCATGAGGGAATCTCAATGCATCGGTGATAGCGTGCAGGTGTGGGGGCGGGGCACAGCCCTCAGATCACATGACCGATAACAATCTGGGAACGTTATTCTGCACTCATGATCACGAACCTGCCCGGAGCTCTCCGGCTGTGCTGGAACGTCAAGGCTCAGTGCTACACTGGGACTTGTAGTCCCCCCAGACAGGAGTCGGGAGGTGGGGGGGGGGATGGAAGAGAATATACAATTCATTGTGAGAAGATTCCCTTTATTAAACTGGCCCATTTATCTACCGCTCACGTCTCCCCGTGTGTTTACATAGCGCCCAATATCCTATACATAGCACCAAACACCCTTTATATAGCACCCAATGCCCTTTATACAGTACCCAATGCCCTTTACACAGTACCCAACACCCTTTATACAGTACCCAATGCCCTTTATACAGTACCCAATGCCCTTTACACAGTACCCAACACCCTTTATACAGTACCCAACACCCTTTATACAGTACCCAACACCCTTTATACAGTACCCAAAACCCTTTATACAGTACCCAACACCCTTTATACAGTACCCAATGCCCTTTACACAGTACCCAACACCCTTTATACAGTACCCAATGCCCTTTACACTGTACCCAAAACCCTTTATACAGTACCTAATGCCCTTTATACAGTACCCAACACCCTTTATACAGTACCCAATGCCCTTTATAGAGTACCCAACACCCTTTATACAGTACCCAAAGCCCTTTATACAGTACCCAACACCCTTCATACAGTACCCAAAGCCCTTTATACAGCACTCAACACCCATTATACAGTACCCAATGCCCTTTATACAGCACCCAATGCCCTTTATACAGTACCCAACACCCTTTATACAGTACCTAACACCCTTTATACAGTACCCAACACCCTTTATACAGTACCTAACACCCTTTATACAGTACCCAACACCCTTTATACAGTACCTAACACCCTTTATACAGTACCCAACACCCTTTATACAGTACCTAACACCCTTTATACAGTACCCAACACCCTTTATACAGTACCTAACACCCTTTATACAGTACCCAACACCCTTTATACAGTACCTAACACCCTTTATACAGTACCCAACACCCTTTATACAGTACCTAACACCCTTTATACAGTACCCAACACCCTTTATACAGTACCTAACACCCTTTATACAGTACCCAACACCCTTTATACAGTACCTAACACCCTTTATACAGTACCCAACACCCTTTATACAGTACCTAACACCCTTTATACAGTACCCAACACCCTTTATACAGTACCTAACACCCTTTATACAGTACCCAACACCCTTTATACAGTACCTAACACCCTTTATACAGTACCCAACACCCTTTATACAGTACCTAACACCCTTTATACAGTACCCAACACCCTTTATACAGTACCTAACACCCTTTATACAGTACCCAACACCCTTTATACAGTACCTAACACCCTTTATACAGTACCCAACACCCTTTATACAGTACCTAACACCCTTTATACAGTACCCAACACCCTTTATACAGTACCTAACACCCTTTATACAGTACCCAACACCCTTTATACAGTACCTAACACCCTTTATACAGTACCCAACACCCTTTATACAGTACCTAACACCCTTTATACAGTACCCAACACCCTTTATACAGTACCTAACACCCTTTATACAGTACCCAACACCCTTTATACAGTACCTAACACCCTTTATACAGTACCCAACACCCTTTATACAGTACCTAACACCCTTTATACAGTACCCAACACCCTTTATACAGTACCTAACACCCTTTATACAGTACCCAACACCCTTTATACAGTACCTAACACCCTTTATACAGTACCCAACACCCTTTATACAGTACCTAACACCCTTTATACAGTACCCAACACCCTTTATACAGTACCTAACACCCTTTATACAGTACCCAACACCCTTTATACAGTACCTAACACCCTTTATACAGTACCCAACACCCTTTATACAGTACCTAACACCCTTTATACAGTACCCAACACCCTTTATACAGTACCTAACACCCTTTATACAGTACCCAACACCCTTTATACAGTACCTAACACCCTTTATACAGTACCCAACACCCTTTATACAGTACCTAACACCCTTTATACAGTACCCAACACCCTTTATACAGTACCTAACACCCTTTATACAGTACCCAACACCCTTTATACAGTACCTAACACCCTTTATACAGTACCCAACACCCTTTATACAGTACCTAACACCCTTTATACAGTACCCAACACCCTTTATACAGTACCTAACACCCTTTATACAGTACCCAACACCCTTTATACAGTACCCAACGCCCTTTATACAGTACCCAAAGCCCTTTATACAGCACCCAATGCCCTTTATACAGTACCCAAAGCCCTTTATACAGTACCCAACACCCTTTATACAGTACCTAACACCCTTTATACAGTACCCAACACCCTTTATACAGTACCCAACACCCTTTATACAGTACCCAACACCCTTTATACAGTACCCAATGCCCTTTATATAGCACCCAACACCCTTTATACAGTACCCAATGCCCTTTATACAGTACCCAATGCCCTTTATATAGCACCCAACACCCTTTATACAGTACCCAATGCCCTTTATACAGTACCTAACACCCATTATACAGTACCTAATGCCCTTTATTTAGCGTCCAATGTTTAAAATGTCTCGGAATCCTTAAAAAAAAAGTTTTCATGTCACACAAAAGATTGGAAAGCTTCACACTAATGCTCTATAGGGGGACATATGAAACTATTGGGGGGTAACAGTCAGCGTCCGGGGTCTGGAATGATTACTCACATCCCACTAACACCCAGATGATTGGACACCTGAACCACCTTCACATCTGCAGAATTCTATCTACGAGGAGTCAGTGGAAAGTCAGGTAAAGTGTACAGAGGGGGACTCACCGTGTCCCGGCCGTCCCAATCACTCCATGATCTGATGAGGGTCCCGGCTGTGTCTATAGAGGGGAGAAGAGACACATTAGAGGTTTCATCTGGACACCTCCCACTGCCAAACCCTGGAGCTCATCACACTGACACACACCCAGAGAGATGCAACGTATGGGACATTGCACGGTGATAATATACAGATAGATATAGCTGACGAGAAATAGATCATAGATAGATAGATAGATAGATAGATAGATAGATAGATAGATAGATAGATAGATAGATAGATAGATAGATAGAGGGATAGAGGGATAGATAGATAGATAGATAGATAGATAGATAGATAGATAGATAGATAGATAGATAGATAGATAGATAGATAGATCAATGGAAGATAGATCTTCACCCCTGATTAATGTTTCACTTCCTGTAGCTGCTGGAAAATCTATCCACGTGCCGGCTTTTATCTCTTCAACGATCTCGGCATCAGAATTGGCAGTGTTGTCCAACTGCTGCGACTGTCACAAGGCCACTGGATGGTGTCACCCCTCCTGGACGGGTTCTCTTTCCTCACTGCTGAGCACATAAAATATAGAAGCAAGGAGCCAACTCCAGGGGTGTCCCCCTCTTAGACAAGTATCCCAGGAGCAAGTGTCCCCCATTAGAAGATTTCCCCTCTATGCCTGTTCTGGTGACAACTCAAAATGTTTTGGGTCATTATCTCCAAGGCTGGATTCACACCATTTTTTTTAGCATTTTGTGCGCGCGTATATTAAGTCGTGTGTTTTTGTGAGTAGATTTTGGCCCGATCATCTCAATGAACAAAACGCGCGTAATACACATGCAAATAATCGCAACATTCCAATCCTTTCCTATGGAGTCTATGGGACAAAACGCGCTGTAATCAGCCCCCCAAAAAAGCTCATGTAGTCTTTCATGCGACAGGCGTATCTTATGCTTGCGACAAAACGCTGACGTGTGCTCTTTGGTCATAGACGTGAATGGGATTCCTAGTTTTGAGCTGTTTGTCGCACTGATTTACACGCGACAAACAGCTAAGGTGTGAAGGGGGCCTTACTTTTTGGGTAAGTTTCTAGAACTTTTTGTGATTTACCTGTTATTTTTTTGGGTCACTAACACTTAGTACTTGGTCATTATGTAATAATTTTGGGTTAGTATCTATGACTTTTTTACACATTTCATGTTTTTCTCACACAATTCCTTTTTTGGGAGTCATCAGTGTTTAATATTCCTGATATGTAATATTGCCTAAAGAACGACTTCCTGACGATGATACCATGTGATCCAGACAGGAGGGTTGTAGAGTTCGGTCCTCTGCGAGGGGAAGTTCTTTTGTGTTTTGTCTTTTTTTTTTTAATTCTCCGTCATGTAGAAAATTCTACAACACAAAGGAGATAATTCTACAAACCGAAAACAAACAACCCTCATCCCACTTTCATCGGCCCGTCATTGGGTGACATCGGCCCGTCATTGAGTGACATCGGCCCGCCATTGAGTGACATCGGCCCGCCATTGAGGGACATCGGCGGTCTTGTTTTCTGCAGCTGAGTTTTGTGATGTCTGTGAATTCAACATTTTGTATCCCAAAACCACATCAGTCAGAGTCTTGAAGGAAGTCCACCCCATCCCCCATCCTTCATATTTCTATATCAGTACTATAGATATAGAAAATACACAGATGAGTGTTATGGTTTAGGGATGAGTGAAATGATTTGATTTCACCACTATACAGCTGTAAAAAAAATGCTTGATCCCCCCATTGCAAATCATCTTTATTGGCACAATTTACAGACTTTCCGCTCTTTGCAATAAACAAATTAAACAAAAACAATTGAAATAGGTCAACACAACAAATGTTTCCTGTAGTTTCCCCAAATTCAACTGAAAATACAACTTTTAAAGACTTCTGCAGTCCCAGAATGATTCGGCCCCCTGATGGCAAGAGTCCTTAGTACTTAGTAGAACCTCCGTCTGCTGCCATCACCTGCTGGAAACCAAATGCGTAGACAGACACCAGCTTCTGAGGTATCTTGGCCCGTTCCGCATGATCAATGGCCTCCAGTTCACTAATATTCTTGCGTTGGCATCCTGTAACCTCCTTCTTCAAATCCCACCAGAGATTTTCTATGGGGTCCCAGTCAAATCAAACCTGACGCTCAACAAACCCCCGAGCCAGTTCTGGTATTTCATGTGTACTAGCTCCGGCACACCAGGTGCAGCTAATGCAGCTTTGATTACTTGCAGCAGGTGTGCTTGAGACAAGACCTGTCCTGCAGATGTGTGCTCCTGTGAGGGATTCTATTCAGGGAGTTGGTTCATTCTGAAGGTGCACATACACCGCACGATTCTCATCCGAGAATGGCGGGAAATCCCACGATCGTACGATAATCGTGCAGTGTATGGAAGGCGTGCGACCGTTTCTACTGTACGGTCGCAGGTCTTCCGTCGAACAAGCAGGCTTGAAAACCCGTACGATTCTCGACAGGTTAGGCCCCGTTCACATGTAGCGATTTCCGCCGCGATATCGCGCATTTTTGCCACGCGATATCGCGAGAAGTCGCCGGCTAATGATAGTCAATGGAGCTGTCTTAGCTCCATGTCGCGCGTCGCAGTCGCAAGTCGATTCTACCGGACCCTTTTTTCGCCGGATTTTGCTTTTTTTCTATGGAGCCCGACGGAGAAGGTCGCGCTACCGTCGCTGGAACGTCGCCTCGAAAGTCGCGCTATCCTGGCCGCTGCAAAGGTATGTCGCTACATGTGAACGGGGCCTAAGTGGCCTGCTTGTTCGACAACTGCCGAACGGCCGGTGTGCGTACGCGCACACTGCCCTTTTGCAGTCATCGGAAGCCCGCCCCTCGTTGCAGTCATCGGTAGCCCGTCCATCAGGGGGGGTGGGCTTGCGATGATCGCAAGTACGATCTGCCTGTCCACGATGGGCAGATCGTACGAGCTTTTAATAAGCTTATGACCATCGCAAGACAAAAGTCGTGCGATGGTCGGAAGGTGTATGGGCAGCTTAAGACTGCAGAAGTCATTAAAAGTTGTATTGTCAGTTGAATTTGGGGAACCACATTGGAGGGGAATTTATCAAAACTGGAGCAGAAAACATCTGGAGCAGCTGTGCACGGCCACCAATCAGCATCCATTTTTCATTTTCAAACCTTAAGTGAACAAACTGAAGAGAGAAGCTGATTGGTTGCCATAGGCAACTGCTCCAGTTTTGATAACTTCCCCCCATTGTGTTCAGCTATTTTACTTGTTTTTGTGTGATTTGTTCATTACAAAAAGCTGAAAATATTAAAATATGTACATTTTGCCAAGAAACCTGATTTGCAATGGGGGAGGGGGGTGAATCATTTTTATTTGAATTGATGTAGGGGAGGGGGGTTTATTTTGTTTAATGTTTTTATTTTTATTTTCTCTCTTTGTTTGTTTTGTGTATCTGATGAATATTTATGTTGAATCTTTTATTTTACTGTTATTTTTTTTGTCCTCTTTCCTTAGAAAACAACAAGGGGGCCTTTGTTGTAGAACCAGAAACAGGTCCCACATCGTTGATAAATGCTTCCTGAACCCCAAGGGGTTATTTAAAGCACATTGCACCCTTCTAAAACCTCCTTCATTGATTGAATGCATTTCACCCAAATCAGGAAATCTCCTAATTTTAACTGGAATTTATGGAGAAAAAATTTTACTCATCCCTGACCGATAAAATAACGCATTACCTTTAAAATATTTACTACGCCTTTGACATCAAATAGAAGAAACACTTCCTGCGTGCAGTACCTCCCCACCTCCCCTGCAGGGAGCCATTACTAAAGAGAGAATGACCAACACCTCTGAGCTCCAACAGAGGAGGACAAGTAAACCCCGGATGTTCATTGGCTGGCTGTGTACAGCTTTGAGGAGCTGTAATTGGTTATCACTACAAGTCAGGGGATCACAATCGCAGCAACAGCATGTTGTCAGGATTTCTTAAACAGGAAGTGGGGTGATATACAACTGGTGAATCTTATGAGATGCTCAGTGAATATTTCATTTACAACTTTCAGACTTCTGATGGGGTGGAGAAGAGAATGTGGCGAATGTAACTGGGCGCATTTATCAGTGTCTATGTCTGCTGCAACCAATCAGAACTTGTTTTGGGATTAGCTACTGCAGCTGTTTTGTGCATTTATAATGGTGTCTGTCGGTCTGGTCTGGTCTGGTCTGGTCTGTCTTTATTATTACTTATATTATTATTTTTTTGTATTACTATTATTATTTGTATAGTCAGTGCTTGGTGTTATTTATTACACCACAAAGACTTATTTCTCTGTTCCTACATTGGACACAGCCCTGCTTCCTGACGTGCCTGAATTCTGCCTGATCTTGGGTTGCTACACATCTTTCCCCATCCAACCCCCCCTTGAAATACGGCACTGTTAGAGCTGCCGTGCCAGTCACCCGTGGTCTGTTCCTTTCCTGTTTCAGCAGGTGATGTGGGTAGATACACCATAGGCTTGATTTGCAATTTCAGCTGGTGTGTAGAGTCCAATGAAACAAAGACAAAGAAGTACAGCCAATCGAAATAACCGGCATTAGATCTTTAATATGTTGTAAGGGGTCATTATTCTGCAAGCTAATGGGTGTTAGTGGGCGGAGCCTAAAGCCACTCATAGGGAAGAGAGAGCTCAGGGTGGCAGAGGTAGTCTGTAGGAATAGTAAATAGGAAGTGGGGCGGTCAGTGGCACCAAAAAAAGTGACCGTTATACCAGTGGGGGGGGGGGGACTTGGCTAAACACTATAGCCCCACCCTTGGCAGGTGAACCATTCGTGTCTTACCAGCTGAGTGGAGCTCCCCTTTAATTTCACACAGCCACAAACAGAAACACAAATTACAGGGAAAATAAAAATAAGTACAATATATTAAAAAGTTTGAAAAGTTGACGCAAACCTTCCCCTGCCTCTCTCAGACCTTTCCCCGATGTTCCGGGGGAGGATGCGTGGGTAGAGAAATCTCTCACCAAGCGAGCAGAGTTTTCAGACGGCACTGCGCCCGACCAAACGATCATTTATAAAATGTTTGTGAACAGCAGTTCCACCGAAACCTCTCTGACCGTTCAATGAGACATTCACCCACGGAGCGGTCCGGAGGAGGAGGCGGCTCACCCGGAGCCGGGGGGAGAGAGTCGGCCTGGTTTAGGAAAAGGTTTATTTGTGATACTGAAGAAAATAAAGTGAAACTTGTCCTGATACAAAAAAATTATAATTTGAACCAAAACCGTATTTAGTAGTGCTAAGAAGCGCTTCTCATTGGTCAGTGCCGTCAGGTGACCGCGTTGACCAATGAGTGCTTGCAATTTGCGAGCGACATTCAGAATACATGGAACAGGTACAGATAGTACACTCATACTGGTGGATGGGAAGGACCGGTCGCCGAAAGGTAAGTATAGTGGGAGGGAGATTTGTGCGGATAATTCCATTTTCCCAAATTACTTGGGAAAGTGAACTTACACTTTAGGGTTGGTGCAGACTGGGGGAGTCCAGGACGTGCGATCGTGTGCGGTTGCATCCGCATCTATGGGGTCACATCTGCGTGGCTATCGCTGGGGGGAAAAAAAAAAAAGGTAGATGTACCTATTTTCACGACATGCACCACGCAGTGGGATCGCCGGGCGGTATAGCAGTAGGAAAACACGCAATCTGCCTGGCACGACTGGGGTGCCATTAGAAAATGATGGCACTGACGGTACGATCAGCGGTGGTGTGCGATTCCGTGACCACCCAGCCATCCGCTCGGTTTCGTGCACGGGGGGTGGGGGGGAAGGGGTCAATGCACAAAATGCAACATCTTTTTGTCCCCCGCCTACTGCATATCATTGATGTGTGGGTGTGACTGGACTGAACTGAAGCCAGAAGGTATGCACCTTGGAGAATACATGGGCTTCATGTTATCACTCACTATACATAAGCCCCCATTGCCTGTTGCTATTAGGAGATTATAATTCTATACACACACCTCCCTCCCTCTGAGATAGATAATCTAACTATAAATAAAGGAAAGGCATATTCACCCTAGAATAGTAGTGTGTTAGGACATATGGGGAGGTGTTCTGTAGTCCATAAAGATAGCTTTGAGGTTCCCCAGAACACAAGAGACCAGACCACTTCCACCTTTAACTGGAGCCACTATTGGGTTGAGTCACCATCTATGAGCTCCCCTTTACTTTTCTGTTCCTTAATAAAGCCCACCAATAAAAAAATAAAATAAAAAAATATTGACCATAATAGCAGAGGCAGCAGGGTTATACATCTACAAAAATTAAATGTGGACTAGAATTTTTATTGTGTACATGGTGGCAGGTAGAGATGTCCCGATACTGGTATCAGTAACGATACTAGGCATTTTCAGGAGTACTTGGGCACAGAGCTGAACAATCGAGCGCTGGTTTCCTGCCGTCTCCGGGGCTGTTTGTTCAGTGTAGGGCTGTCCTGGGCTGTGCCTGCGCCAGGAAGGAGGAGAAGGAGATATCTGACCGGACAGGCACTGCCAAGGACAGCTACCACCAGGTCCTCAGCAGGCTGTTGAGGTCCCCACAAGCGCCGGACTTCAGCAGCCGATCCGGTTTAAACATTTAAAGGGCTGGTATCGGCCTTTTAGTATTGGCAATACTAAATTGTTCCGCTCTGTGCCCATCTGCAGAGCCCCACATGCAGCCTGAGCACATCTGTACACTTTGCCGGTGAGACGCAAAGGCAGCCCTGGTAAGGACTCTGCGCAGCCTGGTGAGATCTGTACACTGCCCTGGTGAGATGCAAATGCAACCCTGAAGATCTGTACGCAGCCTGGTGAGAAACTGCCCAAAAATCATTTGTCTGTATTGTTTTAGAAAAAATGTCACATGTCCCTTTAAGAAAAAGTATTGGTAATAGGTATGGGAAAGTTCCTGTACTTGGCTTTAAAATTAAAAAATATATGTTATCGGGACACCCCTAGCGGCAGCCATATTCTCTGGCTATATATGCCGGCTCTGAAACCAAAACTATGTTCCAGGCAGTTGACCTGAGATGTGGACAACCATGTGACCAGGAACCGCTTCGTCTACAACTGTTCTATTCTCAGTGGTCGCTGACCGATGGGCTCTTAGATTTAGACCTACGGTTGCCCACCATCGAAAAAGCAGGACTTGGTGCCTATGGAGAACGAAGGTTTGGACTCAAGGAAGGCCCATGCTGAATGGAATGACATCACATCATACAGAAAACATTTTTTTATTTCCACCATTTGATAAACTCCAGATAAAAAGAAAAAAAAACAGAACATTTAAAGGCACATTAAGAGATATTGGCCACTAGAAGCCGTCAAGTCAGTCGATGGGCTCCAGAATCTCAAGGATGAGCAAGCGCGGACCGGCCACGATGTGCTTGTAGATGGTCTGGTATTGCAGGTTAAGGCAGTTGATCCCATTAACCGATCGGATAAACTGGCGAATCTGAACAGAGAGCACCATCAAAAACCAACCTCAAGAACAGAGTGCATCATCATACATTAACCTGGAGAACAGAGGCGCTCATACACCAACCCGAACCATAACAGAGAGCACCATCAAAAACCAACCTCAAGAACAGAGGGCATTATCATACATTAACCTGATCATCAGAGGCCATCTTCATATCAACCTGAACCACAACAGAGGGCCCCATCATACACCAACCTAAAACAGGGTATTATTATACAGCTAAATACCCTACAGGGGAACAGCAAAGACTACGGAGAACGGTTACGGTACCTTCATGCCAGCAGCAGCGGCCGGTCCTCCAGGATCGACCGCCTGGACGTGACATGGACCCGCTCCACGAACTACGAAACCCCAGCCGACGTCATCACCAACGATCTGGAGTAAGGAAAGCAGAAGCGTTAAAAAGGATCCATCACCAATTAAAAGGAGAACTATGAGATGAGTGATTTCCACTCACCTCATAGTTCTAAGCCAACCTGTGACAATGAGACTGTCACAGGTCGGCTCAGTAGATCGGGAGGTGAGTGAAAACATACCGGGTTCCCTCACCTCTCGATCCTGTCACGGCTCTCTGCCGTGACAGGGGGAGGGGCTGGATTCCCCTCTCCCCGTAACGGGAGGACGCTAGTTTGTGTCCTCCCGTTACCCTAAGGAGAACTATGGGGAAAAACACTGACCCCATAGTTCTCCTTTAACAATAAAGTTCTATGACTGATGGATACATATGATATAAAAAAGGAGGTAATTAAAGAGGACCTGTCAGTGACTTGACAAGCATGCATATAAAGTAATTCCTGACAATATACAGAATAGGTATCCACCCCAGCCGCTTACATTAAGCGTCTTCCTAATATACGGCGCTCCGGGTGCCAACAGCTCCTCCACAGTCACCGGCACCTTCAGCACTATCAGACACAGAAGACATGGTTACTTATGTGCGTCATACATCCCATCACATTCTGTTCAATACAAATCCAGGCAAACAGCTAGATACAGGAACATGGACCATTTTGTATTCCGTTGTGGCCGGGCTTGTGCTCCAGGAGCACCATATCAAGCGCCATGCCCTCACCCTGATGCACTGCATATAAGCAGCTTGGGTAATGAAAGAGCCAGCACAATGTTTGAGGGTCGTCACTCTGCTCCTGGCACATGCCAAGTTTTTGGCACCACTGTCCACTCACTGGCTTCCAATCCCATTCAGTCCTGCTGAGAAGGGAGTACAGGAAGCTTATCTAAAGACAAGTTTGTGTTCTTACACTAGATGTTTGTTACAATAGAGGAATACAGAACAACTTTTTTATAAATCAGCTTTACATGTATCCTCTGTTTATTAGTACGGTCTTGTCCCTCCCCATAGGGTCTTCAGATACAATTTTCATATAACCCCCACAAAGTCCTCGACTCTACTTCAGGTCCCCAGGGAGCTTCAGACATTTCGGAGTTAAGACCACCACTGTGACCCGCAATTCTAACTGCTGCCTCACCTGAAGGGAGTGCCATGGTGGGTTTGTTGGCCGAGAAGTGGCAATAAGTGACCGGGGACCACAGGCCTGACGAACAGCTCCTTTTTAAGGGCTGAGGGGCAGGCTTCGGCTCACCCGCTGAAATAGAACAAAAAGAATGAAAAGAACACTGGTCATAATCTGGAGGCATTTCAGCATATGTAAAGTCAAACATTTGGGTAGGGAACAGGTCTGTGCCCCAGCTGGGGAGATTCACCCTCTTGCTCCTGGTGACCACAGTTATCAAGACAGAAACTGACAGGAAAACCAAAACTTTGGAGCGGCCACCTATACAAGGGTTGAAAGGAACTCATCCAAAAGGGACCCGGTGACAACGAGCCCCACCTTAGCTCTTATTTCCTGATGAGCCTCTGGGGCAGGAAGTGGAGGGATATCTCCCCCAAAAGGGGTACAGCCAGCAAAAATATTAACCTTTACCTACTATATCCAAAACATTCATTTCGAGAATGACCCAGTTTCACCCCCCTTTCACCGGGTCATGAGACAATGCCAGGGCAGGAGAAGGGGAACCGTTGAGATCACATGACCAGCAGAGCAGACCCCTGAGCTGCCTTGTGTGACCGGCATAGAGCTTTGCTGAGAAGCAGGCAGAGGGCGGGGCCAGGTTCTTCGCTCCATGTGATGCCAAGCCTTCATGATTGAACCAAATGAAATCCATTGGATGAAAGGGGCGGGTCAGGGGCAGCCTAGCTGGGGAAGAAAGTGCTAGATGATGCTGGATGTTCTCCAGCCAGGAAATGAGGCGGGCTCTACCCAACTTGCTGCAGCTTCTGATGCACATTGTAAGAAGCTCACAATGTGCAGTGACATCAGGAGGAAGACATTTAATCCAGGAAGGGAGCCTGTACAAGACCGGGATAGGCAGATTTTAGCGTTAAAATCTTTTTTTGCTAGCTCCTATGTTCACATATAGGATCGCAAGCAGAGGCATGAGGGACGCATACGTTAAATAAGCTGAAATGAGGTGATGTTATGCAGCTTCCATTAACGCCTCTGTACATGCTGGAGATGATTAATGTCAGTGCACAGGAAAATGAAAAGGACTCTGCTGCCCCCTGCTGGTCACAATGAAGTATTACCAGAAGGTGATAAGAATGGATACGTGGAGTGTATGATTTCCATATGGGTATCGGCCAACTCGTCTCCTCTTACCGCACACAAAGCTGCCATGGGGGAGCTCGGACCCGAGTTTACGCAGACAGAAGGGGCTGTCCGGGGAGTCCTGCCTGTGATCCCGACACTGTGAGGGATCATTCAGGACCTCAATCAGCTTCCTGCGTCGGCGGAAATTAATACAGAATTGGAACAGAAGATCGGAGTCCGAGAAGTGATAGTGGCCGGACACTGGAAAGGATAGAAGGCAGTGAGTTTAGTGGGCAGACCAAACACCATGCGTGGTCAGCCATAATTCCATACTAGGACATACCTGGCTGAATGATCCCATATTCCAGCATGGCACGGCACAGCATCTCTCCGTCCCCTCTTGAGGCCACCTCACCATTCTTGACCAGCCAGTCCAACATCTGGGCGCCGAAAAATGTCCTCCTGTACCGCTGCGAGCCCTCCTCCCGCACCTGCAGAATGGAGTCTTCCTGGCTTGCCAGTCTAAGGAAAAAGGCCACACAAAAAAAAATATGTTTAAAAAAAAAAAAAAAAGTCAAGGGGCACGCACCCATCCCCCCCAGGAGCTGTCCCACCCCACAATCGCCATCCAGAGGAGCCATCCCGCCCCACAATCTCCCCCTCCCTTCAGAAAGCATTTCGAAATTTAAAAACAAACAATTAACTGAATTAAAATAAAACAAATTTCCAATTTAACTTAAATCCTAGTAGCACCCAATGTGGGCGGAAAGGAGGAAGGACGGAAGTTTCTGTAACACACTGAGGTGCATGGCACACCGTAACACGCTGCAATATGACAACTCATAGTCCGAGCAATTGACACCCAGTGGCCATCAGTCAATGCTGCAGTGTGTCCCCAGACTATCTGATAACGGGCCATCTTATTGGCTGGCAGGATTTGGCATGTTTTTGGGAGAAACCCAGGACCGCGGTGTGTAGGGGTTAATGACAGACTTTCGGGTATTACCCACATGGCTCTAAACAGTCTCTTGTGGGAGGAAGAAGCCGCCTCATTGTGATCGCAGCAATCTGACAGGTCTAACGGGAGAAAATAATCCATCATAGACGGAGAGGAGACGTCTTCCTCCAGAACTCCATAAACAATCCCGGATTAGATCATTACCAACAATCTGACAACTCGGCGGATACACCACATAACAACTGACAGGTAAAGTACAGATTGCAAGCAGAGACTGAAATAAATATCTTACTACAGCGCAAGAAGAAGATCTTCTAGGGAAACAATGATCTTTATACAATGTGCAAGCTTCTCATCGGAGAATATTTATTATAATACAGTCCTGGGGGACAGGGACAGACTGCTCTTTTTTTGAATAATTTCTGTGCAAGCTCGCCAAGTATTTATTTTTGACAATATTTAAAGTGCATCTAAAAGCAAACACTAACTTTTTTTTTTTT